TTTTCTAGTTTCATGACAATAACTTGTGTGTAAGTGTTTGGATATTTCTGAAATTGTACTACAAGGTTCCATATCACAAAGGGAAAGCTGGAATTGAGTTTGGGGGTAATTGCCCGAAACGTTTAGGAATTGGGGGCCAAAAAGGGGCCAAAAATAAGCATTTTTCAGTTTCCAGACAATAACTTGTGTTCAAGTGTATGGATCTCTCTGAAATTGTACTGCAAGGTACCATACCACAAAGGGAAGGCTGAGATTGAGTTTGGGGGTGATGAATCAAAAGGGGGTTCAAAAAATTTTGGGGGGGGATTTTTTTTTTCTTTTTTTTTTCTTTTTTTCCTTTTTTTTTTCTTTTAAAATTTTCCATTTTAAGTTGGTTATTTCTGATTTATATTTAAAAGCAAATAATAATGATATGGTAGGAGATACACACCAAACAGGATGTGTAAATTATTATATAATAAGTATTGTGCAATAGCAAGAAATTTTCAATTGCACAGTATTGCACAATAGCAAGAAATCTTCAATTGCACAGTATTGCGCAATAGCAAGAAATCTTCAATTGCACAGTATTGCACAATAGCAAGAAATATCCAATAGCACAATATTGCGCAATAGCAAGAAATTGTCAATTGTACAGTATTGCACAATAGCAAGAAATAATCAATTGCACAGTATTGTGCAAAAGAAGATACTTCGTATAAATTGCTTATTTCTTGATCAATTTCAATGGGGTTTTATTCTTGAATTCTTGGGATTCTTTAATATGCTGAATCTAACCGTGTATTAAGTTTTTGGATTTTGGGCCCCATTTTTAAATTGGTCCACATTGAGGTCCAAAGGGTCCAAAATTTAACTTTGTTTGATTTCATCAAAAATTGAATTATTGGGGTTCTTTGATATGCCGAATCTAACCGTGTATTTAGATTCTTAATTTTTGGTTCTGTTTTCAAATTGGTCTACATAAAGGTCCAAAGGGTCCAAAATTAAACTTAGTTTGATTTCAACAAAAATTGAATATATGGGGTTCTTTGATATGCTGAATCTAACCATGTATTTAGATTTTTGATTATGGGCCCAGTTTTCAAGTTGGTCCAAATCGGGGTCCAAAATTAAACTTTGTTTGATTTCAACAAAAATTGAATATATGGGGTTCTTTGATATGCTGAATCTTACCATGTATTTAGATTTTTGATTATGGGCCCAGTTTTCAAGTTGGTCCAAATCGGGGTCCAAAATTAAACTTTGTTTGATTTCAACAAAAATTGAATATATGGGGTTCTTTGATATGCTGAATCTAACCATGTATTTAGATTTTTGATTGTTGGGCCCCGTTATCAACTTTGTCCACATTGAGATCAAAAGGGTCCAAAATTAAACTTTGTTTGATTTCATCAAAAATTGAATATATGGGGTTCTTTGATATGCTGAATCTAACCATGTATTTAGATTTTTGATTATGGGCCCAGTTTTCAAGTTGGTCCAAATCGGGGTCCAAAATTAAACTTTGTTTGATTTCAACAAAAATTGAATATATGGGGTTCTTTGATATGCTGAATCTAACCATGTATTTAGATTTTTGATTATGGGTCCAGTTTTCAAGTTGGTCCAAATGGGGGTCCAAAATTAAACTTTGTTTGATTTCAACAAAAATTGAATATATGGGGTTCTGTAATATGCTGAATCTAACCGTGTATTAAGTTTTTGGATTTTGGGCCCCGTTTTTAAATTGGTCCACATTGAAGTCCAAAGGGTCCAAAATTTAACTTTGTTTGATTTTCATCAAAAATTGAATTATTGGGGTTCTTTGATATGCCGAATCTAACCGTGTATTTAGATTCTTAATTTTTGGTTCCGTTTTCAAATTGGTCTACATAAAGGTCCAAAGGGTCCAAAATTAAATTTAGTTTGATTTTAACAAAAATTGAATTTTTAGGGTTCTTTGATATGCTGAATCTAAACATGTATTTAGATTTTTGATTATGGGCCCAGTTTTCAAGTTGGTCCAAATCGGGGTCCAAAATTAAACTTTGTTTGATTTCAACAAAAATTGAATATATGGGGTTCTTTGATATGCTGAATCTAACCATGTATTTAGATTTTTGATTTTTGGGCCCTGTTATCATTTTTGTCCACATTGAGATCAAAAGGGTCCAAAATTAAACTTTGTTTGATTTCATCAAAAATTGAATTCTTGGGGTTCTTTGATATGCTGAATCTAACCATGTATTTAGATTTTGGATATTGGACCATAATAGGTGAATGTCCAATTTAAAATTTTTAAGTTCTTAGACCACATTCATTCTGTGTCAGAAACCTATGCTGTGTCAAATATTTAATCACAATCCAAATTCAGAGCTGTATCAAGCTTGAATGTTGTGTCCATACTTGCCCCAACTGTTCAGGGTTCGACCTCTGCGGTCGTATCAAGCTGCGCCCTGCGGAGCATTTTATTCTTTGATGTGTTGTTGTAGCGGACTAGCAGCCGTTTCGGGAGGCTGATGAAATTTCAATTTGACAGTAAGCATTTAGTTTTGGTCTTTATAACCTTATTGCCGCATTTTTTTTTAAAAACGGCGTATTTGAAACAAAAAAAAATAACAAACATAATCATGGTCATTATAAAAGACCTTTTAAATGCCCATTATACAATAATTTTTCATTTTTGATTTTTGCTTTACATATTTATTGGTGCGCCTCTCCTTGCCGACCTCTTCTTGTTTTCATATGAATCGGAGTTCCTTCAGACACTTGTCAAAAACAAGAAGATCAAAGAAGCCAGGTTATTTAATTTCACTTTCAGATATATTGATGATGTTCTTTCCATTAACAATCCGAACTTTTCTGATTGGGTTCCATTAATATATCCATCAGAACTAGAAATTAAAGAAACAACAGACACGACTTCCTCCGCCTCATTTTTAGACTTATACCTCGAATTTGACATACACAGTCATCTCAGTACCAGAATCTATGACAAACGAGACGATTTTAATTTTGAAATTATCAATTTCCCCCATCTTAGTAGCAATATACCAACTTCACCTGCATATGGGATATACATTTCCCAACTTATTCGGTATTCAAGAGCTTGCAGCTCCTACTCAGACTTTGTAAAACGTCACCAGTGTCTGAGCAGAAAGTTGATGAACCAGGGGTATGTCAAAGAACGTCTCGTCCTTTTTCTAAAAAAGTTCATCGGAAGGTACCAAGAACTTGTTGATAAATACTCCGTATCAACTTCACAAATAATACACGATGGTCTTGAAGTATAGATTTTGCGTACTGACGTTGTTTATCATCTTAATAACGTGTTATATTATTCTTTTATTTATCTTCATTAATATTACTTTTACTGTTAAGTCTGTTTTTTGAGATATCCATTTGACGTGACTCTGTGCTTATGTATCCCGTCATACTTTGAACGACAAAATTATTTTATTTATTAATATTACTTTTACTGTTGAGTCTGTTTTTTGTGATATACATTTGACGTGACTCTGTACTTATGTATATCGTCATACTTTGTACCACACAATTATTTTATTTATTTATTAATATTACTTTTACTGTTAAGTCTGTTTTTGTTATATCCATTTTACGTGACTCTGTATTTATGTATCCTGTCATACTTTGAACGACAAAATTATTTTATGTCTACCTGTGCGATTTTCAAACCGGCGCGATTTTACGCCAGTACTTAAAACCTTCCATCCTTTATGGGTGGATTTTACATAGATAAATAAAATCGTATAATATAAGCAAAATGAGGATGTTAAATTTGATGTATGCCTTTTTGTGCTTCTTCGTTACATTTGTTTGTTTTTTATAGTGATTAAGATGATAACACAATGTTGACTGCTGTACCCCTATTTTTGACATTTTTACCTATTGTGTCTGTTTGTTTTGTTCACTCATCGTTGTCAATATAATGGAATTTGATGCGACTGTCATACAAGTGAGAGGTTTAGCTAGCTATAAAACCAGGTTCAATCCACCATTTTCTACATAAGAAAATGCCTGTACCAAGTCAGGAATATGACAGTTGTTATCCATTCGTTTGATGTGTTTGTTTTTTTGATTTTGCCATTTGATTGGGGACTTTCCTTTTTGAACTTTCCTCGGAGTTCAGTATTTTTGTGATTTTACTTTTTATGGATATAGGTATTAAATCAAAATCAGGTTATGAAAAATGAGGCCGACTATGTTATAATGTACACACTATCTTATATAAGATCACATATTCAAATCGTTTTGATTTGTTTTTATCTTATCAGTACTGTAAACTTAAACGATTGAATGGATGTACTACAAGTAATTATGTGCAAGTATTTTGTTTTATATTCTATGAAAATTTGCATTCTATTCAGAATATAAGGTTGTGGTATAGTCAATCCTCCGTCAATTATATTATAATCCGAGACTACTATTTGCATTTGTAGACTAAGTTACAATCTAGGAGGGTATGGATAGGGGGTCATTCATTTCTGTGTTCTTTAATTTTTTATGCCATTTTTCTCTATCTTTATATTTAAGCACCTCATTATTCTCCATTCTTTATTTTTATGGTCCATTTTTCTCTATTCTTTATATTTTTTGCCCATTTTTCTCTATTTTGTAAACTCCAAGCCACACCCTCATCTAGTACAACTTTGTCGTTAGGTCATAGACTAGAATATTAGACGACAAGAGTGCATTCTTTTATTAAAGGCTGGAATCTTTTAGCATTTTATAGTTAAGTTTTATTCTAGGAAAATGGATATAGATTGATGTATTCAGTTTATAAACTTTACTTTATATTTGTAATTTTTTTTTACAAAGGTTCACCAAATACCTTACGAAATATATGTCATCGGTTAATGTTACATGGCCAATAAGTATTGAAAATAACGACACACTACATATTTTCTATGCTTCTATTTTAGCCTTAGTTATTTGACCCTTTATGACATTGTATATGATTAATTCTAGATTGTCTCCTGATTGTTACACTATATACAGTGATGGAAGCAGGTATGTTTACGAATTAACAAAAGATTAAATATTCTGGAGTTTCATAGTAAAGTAAACAGTTCATGTATCTTGATTATAACGCATCAACTTTAACAAAAATAGTCTAAGACCGGACAACTTATAGTCGAATTTATTTTCACAAAGCATTTTTATATCGAGCATATTAAAACAAAAGGTTTTCAAAGACCGATAAATGAGTGAAAAGATACAGCAAGCCGTGTAACTTGTGTAAATAAGGATATATAAGTGATATTCAAACTCATAAGTCGGATTACAAACTGACAACGCCATGGCAAAAAGGGAAAAACCTACCAAACAAGAAACAATAGTTTACAAAACACCATATAGAAAACTAAAGAATGAGAAACACAAAGTCCAAAAAGAAACCGGGGTTGATCCCAGTTGTCCTGGAGGGTATTCAGATTCTGCTCCTCATGTGGCATCCGTTATGTTATTCGCTAGATATGTTGATCATAACTCTTTTCTTTTTTTTTTAATTATTTTTAGAAGGTGGACAAGAATGTTTGTCATGCACTGCAGTGGAGAGTGCAAATGACTGCAACCATCGAATCCAATGTGATGATAACGAGGTATGAACCATCTTTTTAAGAACCGTTTGTAACCATGCCTGCTATGTAACCAAATGATTATTTATTTACCACTTGGATAAACCTAGTCCAAGTAGCAGATTTATCTCCCTTTTTGCTATTATTGATTTATATAACCAAAAAGGTATTAATTGTACAGATAAAACACTGTAATGAAAACACCTGAATTTTTATAATTTTATATGCATATGAAATGAGATAAATAATTGATTAATGTGTTTTGAAAGATAAATGTCTGTTCTGTCATATTGTCATTATTTGATATTTTCATACATTTATACTACTTCTGGTTATTTGTTTGTTCTTGTTCTTGCTCATATTATTTTTGGGGGTTGTATATGTTTCAGGACAAAGTTTATTAACTTCGTAGTCTCAAACACGCCTGAAATTCAAGTTGTTCTAGTCTCGTCTATCCATTTTCAGCATATTCTATAAAAAGGATAATACTTAAGGATAATATTTCCGGAGGGCAAATAAGCTAATTGATATTTTCATCATACCAATCTTTATGTTCCGTATATAATCATTCGCTTCAGAAAGAAATAAATCAGGAACAAGATTCTTCACTAAGAACATGCAGATAAACATGAGTTGGATTGAAGTATATATTGACTATCATTTTCTACCCTTATCAACTCAATCATGAAACAATAAACACAAAAGGAAACAATATAGAAAAACACTAAATTTTGGTTGATTTATGTTTGCAGTTATGCTACATGCATCATTATGTAACTGAATCAGGAACCTCTGGGATTGATTTTGGATGTGCTTCTCAGCAGGTACGTACCATTAATTACTGATGTATACAAATAATATAAATATACAACATCAAGGACATTAAGTTTTCTTCCAATATTTAAGTACTTGTATACTAAAAGACATCTTCGAAATCACAGGCAAATGAATTAAATTTCCATGTTTATATTTAAGATTAGAGAGGAGGACAATTACAAATCGTAAGACCAATCAAAACAACCGACAACACCATGCCCAAGGAGAAAACGACGCAAAAGCAAACACCAATAACAAAACTTTACACAGAACACTAAAGATAGAGCGACAATGACATGAACACCCCGCCAAACACCGAGATGAACTCTGGACGGGTAAGCAGATCCTGCTCCACTAGAAGCACCTGTCGTGCAGCATATTGCAAGTGAAATGCGATGATACTAGTAAGTAACATTCGGAAATTTTGCAATGTTTCCCCCTTTGAATAAATATGAAGTTGTGCGAGGAAAAAAAGACAGAATTGTGGCTACGACTAGTGGAACATATTCATGGGCATCTGTACCACATATATTCCAAAAACGGTCATCCAAATTATTTATATAACGGCGTTTATAACACTTTCGAATGGATAACTTCAACTTTACCAATTATACCTTGAAGTCGGTATTTTTGTTATACTCTTTTTACCATTTAGAACATTGAAACATTTGCTTCCTTATAAACAGTAACCCTCTATCAAGGAAAATCATGATATGAAACGCTATGTTAATTGTTGCAAGCTGTTTGCATACGGGGTTTTAGATTTGGTCATAGGAATGGGAAAAGAATCCAAAAACGCGCTCTGGATTGTACAATTTTCAGCACTAAAGATGATTTCTTCTAGTATCTTACCATGCTATGGTTTTAGAGGAGTTGGGACTCAAATAAACAAGTCTTAAAAGTTCAGTAGTATACAATATTTGTAAGAAGAAGCTTCCGTAATTGTTTCAGTTTTGCATGACCAGTGCGTAACGGTGTTTATGAAATGGTCACGAAAAAATTCAACTAGAATTTTATATTTTTTATAATGGCTCTTCAATGGCTGTACTGCTGGCTCTTGACGTTTTTAAAAGTTTTATTTTAGAAAGTATTGTGTTTACGTTGGTTCTGCATGTAAAGTTTAGGAATTAATGATATATTTCCTATTGAATGTTTATAGGCTTGTTCACAATCTGTTGATACAATATTTGGACGACGATCTGAAGGTCACCATGTTAAGTGTACATTATGTTGTGATGACTCCAAGATTTGTAATGAAGATTTAAACTGCACCAGTACAGTACAAACACGTAAGCTCTATAATAAATACAAAAAAGTGAAAATACGCTAATAAAAGTAGTTCACCGATATCAAACATTGTCGACTATGGAGATTTTCAAGTTGACGACCTTAATTGTGAGGGTGGACGGCCTGACAAACAGATGAGGTCAGAAAATTTTAATAATGACCATAAACGGTTATTGCAAGTCTGCATCATAGCTGATGATCTTCTGTGTTTGGAGACATTTTGAGGCGAATTTGTGTGTTAAGACGTGTCCAAAAAGACAACAAAAATCTGGAAGTGACAACCGGTCATACAACATCGTGTAGTAGCAGATTTGAAAGTTTTTCTTGTCTGACCTGCAGGCATGACAAATATAAAAAACGATGCATGGGTACTTTCGTCAATACTTGTATATGGTCCTATGTGAAAGTTTGAATTGATAAAAGACCAAACAGCAGAATGTAGTGGCTAAAGTCTTAATTTGAAGAAGAAAATGCAATAATATCAAAGCAGTTTGAAAGGTTTTTCACAAACATGTTACATGATTAAATCCAAGAACCTTTATATTTGAGAGATTCACAAGACTGCCGTGAAGCTGTGTTACTGTACCAAAGAATTGCTTTTTATATTATTTATTTTATTAGCATCTAGTTTACCACGTGAATGTGCAGATTTGAAATTGTCTACTAACGGTGTTCATACTATATACCCGTATGGTGAACTTTCAAAACCAATGTATTGCTTCGTTGATGATACAGGTCATTCATGGACGGTATGTTAACACAATCTTGGCATTTTTGCATTATTACAACAACAAAAAACTAAGACAATATGTTTTTTTCTTAAAGATGATTTAGGATTTTGAGTTTTAAAACCAAAAAGGTTTTAGAGATCCCGTAACAAAAAAACCCAAACAACCAAATTTCTGAAGTTAAATTAACATAAAGAGTTAATAGTTGAAATATATATGTACAATATTTGATATACCATAGGTAGGCAAGCAAAATAAGAATACATGTAGTAAAATAAAAGATAAAAGCAGAAATGGTTGATTTTTTAAGGAATCTTTTATGGAAGGCTTCCGATCAGTCGGACTATTTAAAGAAAATTCATTCATATACATTTCGCACCACAACTATTGACTACTAGTAGCATTGAGGTAATTAGATGAGGACAACATACTTGATAATAGTTCGCTCACGTTTATAGATATACCTATTTCCACTAATGGAAGGGAGTTGCCGAGTGGTCTTTAGTAGTTCATCTACTTTATTACTAGCCTGTCATAACTGAGATTGTGAGTTTGACTCTAATCTTAATTGACTAGGATTGCCGAAGGTCGGTGGTTCTGTCCAGGTACTCTGACTTCCTTCACCAATAAAATCTAGCCGCATATCCAACTGACGTTTTGATAGCTTTCAAGGCGGGTATCATGCAGAATTAATGTCATTTATGTACCTGGTAACCCTAATTGAATACCATCTTTGAGGATAAAACCATAAACAAATGATTCTTCTTTTCATTTAGGTTATTCAACGTCGCTTCGATGGATCTGTAAATTTCTACAGGGATTGGCAGGATTATAAAAATGGTTTTGGACAAGCGAGCGGTGAACACTGGATAGGTACACATCTACTTTATTGCTATATTCTATGTTAACCCGTTTATATCTAGTCTTCTTTTAATGCATTTAAAAAACCTTATCTTAAATACAAGGCTTATATTTTTTGTACGCCTGACGCGCGTTTCGTCCACATTAGACTCAATAGTGGCGCTCGAATCAAACCAAAAGGCCAAAATCAAATACGAAGTTAAAGAGCATTAAAACCCGGAAACGGTAAGAATTTTTTTTGTTAAATAAATATCTTAAAAATTGTCTTCTAAGTACTGTGAATCTGAACGTCGTCATATCAGAACGTACTTAAACGACAAGCTCGTGGCCTTACCTCTCTTTGAACACATATGGAGTATGCAATTGGAAAAATACTGCAAGTAGAAAAATAATTTGAGTATGGTACCTACCGAATTTGGTAGCACACCTTTGTCATAAAACTTATTTCATATAGACCCCATATAACCCGTGGGTCTATTGATTGTTACTCCTTAAAGAAAATAATAACATTAGAGGATCATATTGTACTTATATGTGACTAGTAAAGGATTCATTCAAATTTGAAGGGAGGTATTTTTTTGTCACATGAACTACTATTATATCAATTACATATCTTTCTAAACTGCATAAGACTGTTACATTCCATAGTGTTTTTTTTTTTGCATGTGTCTTGTATAATTATTTTTCAACGGCAATTAATGTCAAAGGATAGCGTATATACTTAAACATCATAGTGAACAAGAATCAGTTTGAAAATGTTGTTTAGTTTGTACAATTTGTAGCCTGAAAGAAAACATGTATTTAAGGGTAACATTTTGTATTCATTTGACTATACATTTTTATTATTGTGTTTATTTTAGTCATAAGAATTAATTATTAGCATTCATCTATCATATAACTTCAGAAAAATACAAAATAATGTTCATTCGCCTTCTGCTTTGCTTAAGTTCTGAAATGCTCCAGAAACAAAAAGGTGGCTAGCGCGATCTCATAATTGTCAATTCATTTGCCTTAGTGAGTCAAGAACAACATTCTGCACAAATAACTTATATTGAGATTTAGGCGAATAGCCAACGAATTCAATAGTTGGTAGATTGGTACACTGATTGTTTTAAAAGATATTCATCTTTGATGTCCGCAAGCCTTCCATACACCAATGTTCACGTTGATGTGACTGCATTGCAAGTATTTTAATCCTATACGACAGACAAAAACATATGATCTGTAACCATGCAGCCACATCAATATTATCTTATTATATATATATATGTCTAAAAATTTGACAACTTTACGACAGACAATCAGGACTTAGTGATATAAAGGGCTCGTACCACCAACTACATGTACTTCGTCAAAAATGGTCGCTGTGTAACTATAATGAATTTGATTTATATCTGGTAAAAAAATGTACACAATTACTTAACGTAAATATAAGTAGATGTAGTATGATTGTCAATAAATCAACTATCCACCAAAGGTGAAAAAATGTAAGCAACGATTATATTTTGTAAAATTTTGTAGGCAATGACATCATACATGCAATTACAGCTGATTCTAATCACGCTCTGATGATACTGATGACAGATTACAACAATGTTACAAAGTATGCGGAATATTTATCCTTTCATGTAGATAACGAAGAAAATGCATACCGTTTAATGTTAGGAAAATACACCGGGAATGCCGGTAAGTCATGTGAACAGGTGCTTTTATGATTATTTTCAAAAGATTGTCTCTTTAAAGGACTTGAATTAAACTATCATTTCAAGGCATGTATGTACATTTTTAATTCCGATAAAGGATAAAATTTCGTTTGAACTCTTTATCACATATAACCTTTAGTGCGCCAATAATTTCCTGAACATTAATTTTTTTTGAAACTCGTTTCATTTAAGAATTGAATGCTTCTTTTTGTAAATTTATTGGGGTGTAAAAGCGTTGACCGAAGTACATTTTGTATAATAATAATAATAATAATAATAATAATATCTTTATTTAGAGAGAGTAACTTATTTGGATTACACCAATTTTCAATAAGGCTCTCTTAATACAATAATAATTACATTAAGAATAAACAATACATATTCAATAATAATGATAAATAAAGTTGTAATACAATTTAAATACAATAAACAATTATTATATATGGCATTACAGTACAAATATCATGGTAATGTTAAAAGTACATAGATTTGTAGTTCTGTTTAAATTCTAATACTGTGTTTGATTTTTTAATTGAATCAGGAAGAGCATTCCATACTTTTGGTCCATTGTACGAGAAACTAGACTTATACAACTCTGTATTTGGTTTTGGAATTATCAAATTATCTGAGGACGAAAATCTCGTATTGTATTTTTGGTTTGCAGCAGCTGATAAAATAAGACTGGACATATATTCTGGAGCTAAGCCATGTTTTGCCTTATACATTAGTAATGATTTATGATAATGTATTCTTTGTGTAATCGGCACTATGTTACATTCGTGAAATAATTCGCTTGAAGGTTTGGTGTAATCATGTTTGTCTAAAATTATTCTTGCTGCCCTCTTTTGCAGTTTTAGTAAACTATCTAATAGAAAGTTATTACAGTTTCCCCATATTGAACAACACTAATCTAAGTGAGGTAAAACGTAAGCGTTATAGAACATTTGTCTAGCTTTGTGATTTAAATATTTCTTTATCCTTTTTAGTAAAGCTAAAAAAGAGTTAACCCTTTTTATGATATAATCAATATGAGAAGACCAGGATAGAGATGCATCAACAAAAATACCTAGAACCTTTTCACATGTACTTTCTTTAATTTGTTGTCCATTCATAGCAATATTAATGTTATCATTTGATGTAACTGAAAGCTTCTGTTTAGAGCCAATAAATATAGCCTTCGTTTTAGATACATTTACAGCCATTTTATTATCATCACACCAACGAAAAATATCTTGTAAAACCGTATTAAGTTTATGACTGATACAACTTTTGTTTTGTCCAATGATTGATATGGTGCTATCATCAGCAAATAAATCGGTGTTATGATTAGGATTAGACAAAGGAAGATCATTTATAAATATTAAAAACAACACAGGTCCTAAAACGGATCCTGGAGGTACACCCGTTTTTTGTTTTTGTAAGTCTGAAAATGTATTTGAAATAGATACCATCTGATATCTGTCAGCCAAATATGATGTAAACCATCGTAGCGAAGTATAAGCAAATTTGTATTTGTTTAATTTTTGAATAAGCAGTTTATGATTGAGAAGATCAAAGGCTTTTGCTAGATCTAGAAACACTGCCCCAACAAGATCGCCATCATCAATGGCTTTAAGCCATTTATCCAATAAAGCTGTTAACGCAGTTTGACAAGAATGTTTTGCGCGAAAGCCTGACTGCATTCTAATTTATTAAGATACTTTACTAAGTGTGTTTTCACATGTTTTTCGAGGATTTTAGAAATGAGTGGTAAAATTACAATTGGTCTGTAATTAAAAACATCCTGTTTTGAACCTTTGTTCTTATAAACTGGTATGACTTTTGCCAGTTTAAATGAAGATGGAAAAATACATTTTTAAATACTTAAGTTAAAAATATGACAAAGTGGTAGTGAAATAGCATGAGAAGACATCTTTAAAAACTTTGCACTTATGTTAACAATACCTGTTGCTTTTGATTCTTCTAGCGGAAGCGTTTCATTCTAAAAATGTGCGCACAGTCATTGCTTTTACAACCCTTATAAAATTACTAAAAGAAGCATTCAATACTTATGATTACATTTTTTTGCTAGGATCATGCGGCCATTTCGCGTTTTCGCGTTTTCGCCTTTCATTTTCACGCGAAATCGAGAAATCGGGAAATCGGGAAATCGAGAAATCGAGAAATCGAGAAATCGGGAAATAGAGAAATCGGGAAATCGGGAAATCGAGAAATCGAGAAATCGGGAAATCGGGAAATCGAGAAATCAAGAAAGCGAAAACGAGAAAACGCGAAGGCGAAAACGCGAAAACGGAAAATTGATTTCTCGATTTCGCGTTTTTGCTTTCTCGATTTCTCGATTTCCCAATTTCTCGATTTCTCTAAAACGAAAAGTCAAAACCGTCTAAGGTCAACTTTGCCTGAGTGAGTTGCAATCTTAGATTTACCACAATATATTATATTATGAACTGGAAATTTACTTACAAAAAGTATTACTGAATCATGCCAATATCAAAGTAAAGTGGCATTTGATTAAAATTATGATATCCTGGGGGACTTAAATTCCACCATAACTAGTTTAATAATTACTCTTACGCTTTTTGATCGCTGATATAATAGATGTATATAATTTAGAAACAGGTTTCCCAGGGAAAAAAATGAATAAATCAAGTCAACTAGTCACTTATTGGCGTTCGAACCAATCAGTTGGTAGCCCATATCAAATACGAAGTTGAAGAGCATTGGAGACAAAATATTCCGAAAAGTTAAGACAAATATGTGCAAGGCAATCTATGCTTTGGGGTAGAAAACCCTAGTGTTTTGAATACTTCAACATTTTATAAATAGTTAGTTTACATTAAATGACTGTCTCAATGCTATTTCGTGCCAACGCAAGAGTAATGCGAGCAATGCTTAAAAATTCGATTTATTTAAGAAATATCATACTTGTAGAATATTGGTGCATGTATATCATACTTGTAGAATATTGGTGCACGTTCACGATAGTTTTTTTTTTTTATCCATTAGGTGATTCCTTGATGGAACATGACGGTCAAAAATTTTCCACATATGACAGAGACAATGACGTGGGCTCTGGAAGCTGTGCTCAGGGGTCTAAAGGAGCATGGTGGTATAGTAAATGTCATCAATCCAACCTGAATGGTCTATATCTTAGGGGTCAAAATAGTCAATACGCTCTCGGCGTGGTATGGAAAGCCTGGCACGGATACTACTACTCGCTTAAAACTACAACCATGATGATTCGAAAATACTGATTAAAGCAAGTGGAATTTGAATTTTCTTTTTAATATCACCCAGCTTGAGAAAACTGTTGACAGAACATTGGTTTTATACTATATGGTGTGTACGTTTAAAACGCTGTTGATGGATAACCATAGCAATATGACGATAAAAGATAGCAATTTTAGGTTTCAAATATTTGGTTTTGTTTATAGCTAATCCGTATTTTGTAATCAAACGATTTAAAGTAGTAAGGCGATAAAAGATATTTGTTTCACTCACATGGTCCAAATCTAAAAGTTTTCAAATCCTATTCGAAATAGAATATTAAAGAGTCTATATCACATATTTCAGATATTGCTTCATAAATTCAAAGGTTAATCAGCGCTACCTGTTGCTGTTGAAAAGAATTTTAAATTTCACATGTTTTTGTCACGTTTTGGATCGAAGGATATCGCTACAACTACATGAATTACTTTGTATCAGAGCGACAAATCTGGCATTACTTCATACAGAACTACATTATTGACTAACGATGCCCTTCCATTCATTTTTGGGATAAACACTCAAGATTTGCCAAAATCTATCTGAATTTCGGTTTATGAGCTATCTTCAGGCTTGTATAATTTGTTGATCAGTTAAGAAATAAGCTATAATAAGTAAAAGTCCATACATTGGGCTGTGATACTATGAATTTAAGTAAAGATTGAAAATCCTTTTGAAAATGGCCCTGGTGTGGGATAAATTCAGGGGAAATAACTCTTCTCGAAATTTTAGTACCCGCACAACTTTATCTGTTTCAAGAATAATACTGGACAGGTTCAATTATCCTTACCACATTTTCATAAAAGATTCGTCAAAATTATCATTTTCTGGTACTTTTTTTTTCATTTACTCTTAGAGGATAAAAAGTGATCTCTAAATTATCCACTTACTTTTTGAAAAGACACCTTTGATGACGGTATTGGGAATGTAACTGATTTTCCCAAAATGATAATTTTTCTTAGCCACCTGAATGTTGAAAGCTCCCATATTATTTATTTATAGGTTACGTGTATATCATGGATAAACAAATTCCTTATAAAACATTGCTTAAAGTATAAGCCTTGCATAAAAAAAAACTTTACTGCACTTAGTTTGATTTAATCCGAATTAATCCAATCGCTATCAACACGTGTTTTATCTCGATCTTAATTTTCGACCGTTCAAAATGAGTGTTGAGTAATATCTAGTCCAATCTTGTACATTGTGTCATGGGTTGGTGTGTTTGCAAAGAAAATATTTGTTCTATATTTATCGTAAATATGTTTAAGGTAGATGGGGTGTCTAAATTATAATCCATAGAATTTTTTAATAATTTGCCAAAATGTAGTTTGTATCATGCTTTTTTAAAAAAAATAATAAAAAGAATGGGTCACGGTGCTTATTTTCACGCTACAGGTTGTGCAAAATTGACAGATTTTGTATAGATTATGCATGGAAAACCCAATTTTCTGCCATAAAACTAAAACAACACCATAGAATTTTGAGATAGAATATGAGAAGATAGCTCTAATATTATGCTTTCAGATAAGAAAAAGAAAAAATGGGGTCACGGGACCAGTTTTCTTGCTACATAATAAAATAGGTAAATTCCTAACACATTCTATTGTAAAAGTAACTTAATCTGAATTATCTGCCCTTATATTTGAGTTGCCTCCCCTTATGTGTCAAAGTTGGAAAAAATGAATCAAACAAAGGCATTCTGTTTTTTTGTAAAATACAACCATACATATGATAAAACATGTCATTTTCTATATTGAAAGGAAAATTCTTACACATGAATTACCTACTACTCTCATAATTTGCACATTTTATTAAAGATCTAGACCTCTTGTTTTCTGGTATTTCAAAATCCAAGATGGAGGAAGACACCCTATCTACCTTAAGGGTACTACAACTTCCACTCAGTGACGTCAATACCGTACAATAACTTCTATTTTTTCGGATATTACAGTATTTGAAGTTATCAGTTTCCCCAAAAGTGCTTCCCATCAGAACAAAGACAAAGAAATTTGATAAAATGCACAAATTCTGCCAATTTAATCTCTGTCTGAACAACAGTCACAGAAAAAATAAATAAATCGAAATTAAAAATTATTTATCATACGTTTGAAAACATTGCATTTTCTCTCTTTTTTTGTAATTTACGGTATACTGAATTGAGGCCATTTCGAGATCAATTATTCAATATGGTTGTTCTGGACTTCTAACTTCAGATTAAAAAATCGTCAAATACCAAGAGAATGGAAAATAATCATAAGTCGAAGAAGAATAGACAATAAAGTGGCGTGACATCGGATTTACAATTTCATTTTTTTGACATAATTCACGTCGATATCATACCCCTCGGAAGCATATCTTATATATACTAATCTTTTAAACTCTTGAATATTCGTTCTAGGCAATTTTCGTCTAAGCAAGGTCAAAGATCAGGGATAGTCAGTTCTTTACAAAATGCAAGCAAAACTGCATACTACTAAATAATAAATAATAAAATTAAATACAATATGTAAAACACCTGAAACAAGATATAACAGTCTCTATATTCAAACGCAATTTCAAAATGTTGACGTATTTCAAATAAAACTTGTAGATGAAAATGCACATGCAATCCTTTGATAATTCGATAGATATGTTCATATTAACCCAATTGAATTGATGCCTCTTTAAGTGTATATAATTAAGGTATTAGACAATATATAAACAAAATCTATATTGGGCTAATTTTTTTTTTTTTGGTTTACTTGAATGATAATGACAACTATTCTGATTTTCTTCAGATTTATTTTACGTTCAATATCCAGAGGAAATCTTAACAAATGCAATACTTGTCATTTTTTGTGATAATGTAACCATTAAAAAAAGAACCCACATTTTTTTATGGACAAATATTATATGCAATTGGATTAGGCATGGAAATTGTTATCGGTGTAATTTTCCACATTTTACCCCCTTCTTTTTATGGCTTGTAAACTTAAGTTCAAAATGTGCTTTATATCGGTATAAGAATAAGATGATGTGGTATGATTGTAAATGACACAACTTTCCACCAGAGACCAAATTACGTAACAACTATAGATTCCCGTACTGCCTTTAACAATGAGAAAAACCCATAACGCATAACAAGCTATAAAAGGCCCCGATATGCCAATGTAAAACAATTCAAACGAAAAAACTAACGGCCTGATTTATGTAAAAACAATAAACAAAAATAAATATGATTAACAACAACAAACGACAACCTTTGAGCTGCAGGCTCCCTAGTTGGGGCAGGTACATACGGGATGTGCCAGCAGTAAATTACGATAATAATGTCTCTTAAGTGATTTTTGAAAACCTTTTAAACCTATGTTGAACACCTGAAAGTCAAATAACTATTTTACTACAAAACTTCAACTAAAACAAACACTGTTGGTAAACAGTCGTTTTGGGTAAGACTAGGGGTTATATAATAAGTTGCCAAAACTATGTGTATATATGCCCTTTTAGGTCAAATATTAGTGTGTCAAATTCTACATTTAATCATAGCATATAGTTTTAAAGCTAATATCCCTTTAATTAAGTGTCCATATAAAATCATCCTATTTATTTAAATTTTACATAATTCAAAAGGACAGATTTTTTTAATTTTAGATAAATGATAACTTTCATCATTTCCCAGCTTAAACTATTTAATAATTGATTGAAAGTATTTTCTGTCACTCAAAGACAGACATGCCAAGAATTTTAGTCATAAATAATTTGCTAAAAGGAAGGACTAATTTCCCCTGTATTTGTTTCACCAGAGACATATAATATTTTAAATACATTGCTTAAGTCCGTATGGTCGTTGGGCAGTCCACATTTCCCTCGTTTCCAGTCTGATTCCGATCTATTGTATCTCGCTGACTCGTCGAAGCTCACATCAGGATAACGAAATCAGATCTAAATTTTAATTAGATTGCCTCCTATTATCTAGGTCGACCTACCTTGTGGAACCGACCTATGGTAGTATTTGTTAATTTGTTATCGTCCTGAAAATGGATGAAATATTAACCACTTTGAGTTAAAAAAGTAAAAAAATTTCAATCGATTTACGGTGTCACTCAAAACAGACATTAAGCGTATGCACGAAAGGTAACTAAGAAAAGTTCGTTTTCAATGAACTAGAAATCCTGTAATTTTGGTAAAAAATTGAATACTAACGGGAAGTACATACAAATAAGGGTCAATATAATATAAAAGGGAGATAGCACACAGACAGACATTTTTTCAACCTATTACAATCAAATATCAATAAACATAATATGAGAAATTGATTAATGCCAAACATTTTATTTTCTTGACAGAACGTAAAGATCCTTAAATACCTCTGTGGACATCTTCAGTTTATATATCAGTTTAGTTGAGTAACTTCATTGTATCATGAGTGATCTATGTCACAAGGGAATATAAAATGTTGTACTATAGATGATTAAAATAGGATTAAATTCAAGACGCATCAGTGTGATTGATACGATGACAAACTGCATTTAAATGCTAGATGATATCAAGAAAAGAAAAAAAAAACACTTTATATTTTATATGAAGCGTAAAAGGTGTTTGAACTTGTCCATGGTTTAATTTTTTTACTATATTTCATGGTTCTCGGAAGTTAAAGGAGCTAACGATTTTTCTTAGTCTCGTGAGTTTATGGAGCTAACGATTTTTCTTTCTTCTCTGGAATTTAGAGACCTAACACATATTTAAAAAAGTATATGATCTCAGAATTCAAAATGTTTATACGTTTACGAGTTTTAAGTAAGGCACTGTTTTCTTTTCTTTTCACCAAAATGTTTCATTGAATTTTATCCTAGATAGCAGTTACTCTCTGGGCTTATCCTAGATAGCAGTTACTCTCTGGGCTTATCCTAGATAGCAGTTACTCTCTGGGCTTATATGTTGTTGCTCTTTTTTTTTGGCGAACTCAATTACTGTTTCTTTTTGTGTCACCATTTTACAGATACTTGAAAATTAAAATAAATTCTCTTTTGTGTTATCTTATTTGAAAAGTGATTGGACCTCAGTTTCAGAGTTTATTGCCTTTCGAAAAACCCCAATGTTGCAACAGACGAAACATTCTAGCAGGAGGATTTAAGCTCAGCCAAATGTTTTTAAACATATTATTTTGGAAGTGCTTATCTTTAATCCAATAACACTAATTTAATTGGTATTTTGTATATAACCAATGCTATTTTTTCTTTTAATCTCTGTTTCCTTTCATGCCTGTGTGTTCATACTCTTTGCGACATTTGTATACCTTTATATGTATCTATATATATATTATATATATGTGTTGAGTAATGTATATGCATGTCAACCTTGACATGTCTTTGTTTTGGTTACAAGTTGCATTTGTACCATTGCTACCTGCGTCGCCGAAGAAGAAAACGTGTCTAGTAACCGTTCGACGCCGTCCGTCTGTCCGTCTTTCCGCCCGTCCATCAGAAAGAAAACTTTTGTCAAAGTTCTCTTGGCTTCATGAAAGGAATTGATTTGGTATTTGGTCTGTAGCTTGATAATGTTGAGTTGTAGGGAGTAAGCAATTTTACATCTGCCGTGTAGCCACTTCCTGTTTGCAGTTAGTTTGAAATTTTTCAACACCCATTTTACAAGGAAAATTTTGTCAAAGTTTTCTTGGCATCTGTGAAAGAGAATGATTTGATATTTGGTCTGCAGCTTGATAATGTTGAGTTGTAGGGAGTAAGCAATTTTACATCTGCCGTGTAGCCACTTCCTGTTTGCCGATAGTTTAAAATTTCAAAACATTCATTGTACAAGTAAAAAATTCGTCAAACTTTTCTTGGCTCCATTTGAAGTGAATGATTTTAATATTTGGTCTAGAAATGATCAGTTATGTTTCGGTATATATGCTACCTCAATCAATTGCATGCAGCGACGCAGTTCTAGACCCGGTAAAGTCTAATTATTATAGGTACCAATTTTAAATATGACTTTTATGCTATTAACTACAAATAATTTATCACGCTTCAAGACTTCAAAAATATTTTCGAGACTGGAATGAGCTTCCGTCTATTATATTTGTCTGGAAAATGCTTTAATTAGAAGGTCGTTTTGAATTTCTTTCCCTAAGTTATAGTAAATAAAACCCTTAACTCAAATAAATATTGGAGGAAAGTTGAAGTAAGATATCTTTTAATAAAGTTTATCATTATCACAGATAACACAATTATGAATAGGCTTCTTAGCCGGACTTGCTACTTAACCGCAGTTTATCTGGTTTTATATGAACTAAGTTGATTTGTTTTAAACGACTAATCTCGCGCATTCTTTATGTAACTGACCCAAGTTAGGAGCCTGTAGTTCAGTGGTTTTCGTTGGTTCATGTCTGTCATATTTGTTTTTCGTAAATTGTTTTGTTATAAATTAGGCCGTTGAATTGAATTGTTTCGTATTTTTCATGTCGGGGTCTTTTATAGCCAACTATACGGTATGGGTTTTTCTCATTGTTGAAGGTCGTTTGGTTGCCTATACTTGCTTACATCAACTTCATTTGAACGTTTGGTGGATAGTTGTCTCATTGGCAATCATAACACATCTCCTTATTTTTATAAGCCTTGTTAATGTTATGATATTTATATATATTTGTTACGTTAAATTCTCTCATTTTCCATATTTTTCAAAATATATATGTGTACCCATTTTCAGATTATATAATTGAAAATTGATTTTGTAAGAAAAAGATCAGCGTTTACAATAGGCCAATTTAAATATCTGAGAAAAACAAATTGTATGACAAGTAGAATTCAGCAGGTTGTCAGAACTATGGAACAAGCATTTACGATGTCGAGGAAATATTGCCTTTTTATTACAACACATATAAGAACATGACAACCTACATTTTATCTAAAGTGACATTTTCTTTCATTATCAACTTAGATGACTCCTAGATGTCCTTTGGTGTTTCCTGTATCGTTAATGTGCTGTCTAATTGACCGTATTCGATAAATGTACCGAACGTCAAATTTAGATCTTGTTTCAAATTGTCGACAGCAAAAAAAAAAAAAAAAACGTCATGCAAAACCTACCAGAGAACAAATTAGTTAGTTTAATTTAATTGATAAATTAAATGGAAAATACAACGATATACGTTCCTAGTCATTATCAAACTATTTAATAAAGTCCACTCTAACAGTACACAATGTTATCAAAATTACAGAACCATCAGATAATTCTAAGTGTTAATGCAAAACTGAAGATTTATTAAACCTGATTAAAACTTGCTTTAAATGTTACAGTTTACATCTGTGCTGCTAACATCACAAAAGACCCTATCCATGGCAGCAATACACAAAATGAACATTGAAATATATATTCAAGCAGTCCTTTCTAAGTTTAGTATAATATCCTATCAGTCTGTTAAGATATTTTTCGTGTAAGCCTGATGTGGAAACGAGACATGAATTAAACTGAACACATTGCATTGTCTATTTGGAAGTCATTGTATTAAATTGATAAATTGAAATCGCAAACACTTTCTGTATTAATATTTGAATTATACTATTAGAAGTACAAATACGTCGTGGATGAAACCTAGGCCTAGACAATGAACACATTCTGTTAAATCTTTTCTGAAATGTAGTCCGCATTACATTTACAAGTTCTTAATTAAATCCCGAGGTATACAAATAACACGATGCAGATGCGGTATGGTTAACATAGATACTACTATCCAAGATCGACAAAAAAGGAAGACAATTCGGGGGTTGATCGAGGGCATTGCTGACTGTTTAAAGTACATTTTTCTGAATTTTAATTTCGTATCATATTTAAGTACGGAGAAGACTCGAAACAGTTCTGTAGAAGAGAGGCGAGGGATACCAAAGGGACATTCAAACTCATAAGCCGAAAATTTATAGTTTTAGAATAGGCTGTAAGTAAATTAAATCTCAACTGTCACTTGGTATGGGGTGAAATAAATAGTAAAAGATAACAGCAAGATCTGATATTTTACTGGAGACTAGTAAAGAAACGATGGTTACTTCATCCTGTTTATTATGTATGTATATCATTATTGTTCTCCTACCTAGTTACACCGTGTTCTTTTACCAGATACATCGCGTATGTTCATTAATCAAAACCCTTATATTACAAATATCCCGTCCAATTTTTGTTCTGCTTTACATTAACATTGTAACCACATTGCATTACAACTACGTGTTAAAAGGTTTTTTCTTGACAAATATCATATTTCTATACATGAACGAGTTATTGACATTATCTTCTTGCTTAATTGCATCACACCATTCAAATGTAAATGACCTCACTTACTGGAATATTCCTGTCAGAAATTTGTATTTACATGCCAATCAAAAGTCAAAAACTTCGAGAAATGGCAAAAGTTGAAGTACACTTCTATAAAATACAGGATTAGTATCCGGCAGTTTACCGGTTGGTCGTGAGGTATTGGCAAAACTGTCTGCTCTCTTGTCACCCCAAAGCCATGGTCAGCATTATGCAATCTTTTCATAATTCAGTTCAGTAACTCGGTAAACAATAGAAAGAATGGAATAAATAAGTTAACAAAGCCTTTATTACATTGCTCTCGTCTTTTTCAGTATGCGACAACACAATTTGTTTTTTCTGTGAGATTCCATCAGGCATGTTCGCCATTATCAACACCTCATTATTTAAACAAAATGAAGACTCATAAATTTTGATCTCATATGAAAAGTAAAATAACAAAAATACCGAACTCAAAGGAAAATTCATAACGGAAATTCCGAAACACATCAAACGAATGGAAAACAAGTGTCATATTCCTGACTTGGTACAGAAATTTCCTTATATAAAAATGGTGGATTTAACCTGGTTTTATAGCTAGCGAAACCTCTCACTTGTATGACATTCGCATATAATTCCATCAAATATTTAACTTTTGACGCATGGCAGAAGTAAGAACAAGTCTACCACAGTTTGATTGTAAAATTATATTTCACCAGTCGTTTACTGTTTAAAGCTGATATGAATTAGAAAAAAACATTTTATTTTCAGCAGAATGTATTGATATTAAAAAACATTAGCCGCTCAACACCGTATGATCTTTTTTTTTTGCTAGTACGCTACGTTCACCATGGAAATTCACTAAAAATGAACAACAAACAAATCTGCAGCATATCAATACTCTCGACTAATATTTTTTTTAAAACTTATTTGCAGAAAACCTGGACTATAGGATTGCAAACCTTAAGTTAGCTTTACCGGTTAGGGACACACAAACCCTTCTTCATACTTAAATATATTGGCAGTATATGGCGTGGGTTACGAGGTGGTGTAACCTTGATAAACTTTTACATGTATGAAAAGTGACTATTTAATTACCTAAAAGTGTACTTCAGGTTTTTCACTGATAAATTGCATTTCTTGCGTTTTGTGGTAGAATACTAATCAGTTTCTCCACTTTAACTTTTCTATTTGCTAAATGAAACTATTTTCTTTAATGTTATGCACCAAGTTCTAAATCTAAGAAACAGTAAAATAAGTTTGAGGTTTCACAAGAAATAAACAAAATTTAATATTTAATGTCTTTTCTCTCTTCCGTTTTTTTTGTTCAATTTATCGTAGAGGTCTCTACCCGGCATATATTTTTGGGTTAAACTGCAGATGAAGCATATAATCCAAGGGACAATTTAACCTGCGCCGAGCCTGATCTTTCATCATCAAATGGCGCCAAAAACTACCGGTGTAATAAATGAAATTAAAAATTTATAATTATATAAAAAGCTCACAACCTTTATTGAAAACGATAAACAAATATCATAAAAACTCCAAATCTTGATCAGAAACAGAAAATCTTGAACTTTTAACAAATCCAGAGTCACTGCAAGGATCTACTGTAATTGTATATCTATCCGGCAGATGCGTTCGGAACTCATGTACCGACGCCACATCATCACCTTCGGAATGCCTCACAAAAATCGGACTATTGTTGTATTCAGCACTTATTGCTAATCTTTGTTGAGATCTTTTCTCTAGCTGACAATTCAGGTCTTTAATTTGGTCTTCCAACTGAAATTCGGTTAAATCATGAAAATAAATCATGGAAATCAGTTCATATATACTTCTATGGTAAATATATAAAATTTTGTGGTACATCTATTTTGCAATCATCTTTAACCCCACCTAATAAATTCTTCACTGAATGTGCCTGTCTCAAGTCTGAGTTCTGTAATCCAGTGGATGTCGTTGGGTACTGTCTATTTAAATTGATTTTCTTTTTTTTTGTATTTAGCATTAATCAGGCTGTTAGTTTTCACTTTTGAATTGTTTAACATTTTGTCATTCCAAAACATCTGACTATACAATATAAGTTTGACTCATTGTTGAAGGCCGTACAGTAACCTGTCGTTGTTTACATCCTGTCAATAAGCCTCATCTGCAATCGTAATTGTAATAGAGGAGATGTACCCTTTGTCTGTCCTTTTCGAGTTCATGCAATTCAATCAATTTTTGTTTGTTACCTTGCTTTTTCTCAATCCCAATAATTGACATACTGAAAACTTAACTTTTCTGTTGACGCACTATTGAAGTCAAATTTTAATATCCTTGGATATGGATTAATCCTCACATGCACTTTCCATTTGTCTATAATTGTATTCATATACCTGGTAAAAGTTGTTTCCACATTTTCCCATGAATACTCGAAATAAAATATTTCTCGTTATTTTATAAAAAAAGTATATAGACATATCGTATTTCTGACTTAGTAACTACATAATAAAAGTATGCAAAATAAATGCATATACCTCTGAAAGTTGGTTTTTAAATTCATCATTTTCTCTTAGTAGTTTTTGATGTCTCTCCTCTTCTTCACGACTAGCATGGGACTCGGTTATGGTTCTTATTTCTGAATTATACTTCTTGGGCCGCTTTTTTATTTCTATCATCTAAAATAAATAAGCGCCAATTAAAGGAATTGCTATCTTTAAGTTCTTTGAATTTTTATGGTTCGTAAATAAATACCTGGAAATTTTTACAAATGTTACTACTAGTTGTAGTTCTTCTGCTGATATTAAGATAGAAAGAGAGACATCCTTGTGATAATCGAAGAGAAAAAACACTTTCGATATATCGCTTCTTTCGGATGACCCCTTGGTATTTGAATCCTTTTTAAAACGTTATAATAATCTGTAAACGACTCCACTAAAGAAGTCCTAGATTGCTTTGGTGTCTGACGTCTTTTTTGAAGCCATGCTGAGACCTTGAAACTTCCAAGCTCAGTCCATTTAGAAATAATGGATATTGCTGGCTCACACCTAGGGTAGCAATTGTTTGCTTCTAAATCGTTATAGATTAAGGGTTAAGTAGATAGATAAATAATAACCCACATTATTTCTTATTAATTTTTTCTCCACGTATAAGTTCCTTTTATTTACACGTCATGTGACTACCCTTATTTTATTGAGTTCACAAAGAAAGGCCCCCTCCCATTGTAGGAATACAGTCATGCGAATGACCCAGTTAAAATGCATGTATTTACACGTTATGTTTCTTCTTTCGATCTAACGTATGCAAAACCTTTAAGCATACATTAGCTCCCATGATTACAAGTACAGTCAGGAAATAACACGAGATCGCATTAGATAAGATAAAGCAAAGGTACGTAGCTGAAATTGAAGGGTTGGTGTAAATAAAGCTTACGTTGATACTACAGGGGTTGTTACGTGAATAAAAGATGCATATTCATGGAGACAAAAAATCGAATATTCAAAATTGGATCTATTAAAATTCCGAGACTGAAACTACGCCGCTCCAAGTCTGGGTTGGTATTGTCTATATTTTCTTAATGAACTGTGATATGACGTGTCACGGCAGCATGTGTGATCTACAAAGGCACTCAACGTTAGAGCATCTAGGATAAGACCAAAGTGGTCACAGAATCAACAAGATAACTTAACTTAATATTTCTATTCCCGATTGTGACATTTTGACCGCATGCATAGCAGAAGACGATTTCGATGACGACGCACCCATTCAAGCTCCTTTCACAGTTCATACGATTCCCTCAGTTTTTGTTTTTTACCATGATTCGTATCTTCTTATTTGATTGTTGAGATTTGAACATCGGTAAACTACTGTTCCCTACATTTACTCCCGCCACATATTCATGTACCTGTCTTAAGTCAAGAACTTTGGCAGTTGCTGTCTTAGGTTATATTTTGATGTTTCATATCATTTGGAGAATTTTGTGTTATTGGTTGATCTTTTATACAAAAAGTTTCTGTGTAGTGTAAATATATTGGTTGCTTAATGAACAATTTAGAGCTTGACATAATTTGTAGACACATGTCTTGTTGAAGACTAATGGTTATCCTTTTGTGTTTTTCGTAATTTTGTTAGGTTTTTGTCCCATTGACGTATACAGCACAATATATTCGAAATCTTACCTTTGGAACAAAAATAAGACCCGTGGATAATAAGCTGCATAGAAGAATGGCTAACGACACAAAGGCAAAGCTGGCATCTTGTTGATTGTTTATAAGTAGTGTAATAGGAGCAGTTATTACACATAGCACCTGTTAAAGTACAAAAAATGCAAAAAATTAACCTTTATATTCTATTAGCATATAATACAGAATTTATTCGTAATTCAATGGTTTACTCTATAAAAACATTCAAGATACAATACTTATAATTAGTTAAACGTTAGTTTCTTCTGCTGTATACTCATTAGTGGCGCTCAAATAAAAAAAGTTAAAAACCAACCAATTACAAAGTTGTGGAGCATTGCAATCCAAAAATCCCCCAAAAAGTAATGCCAAATCTGGCTATGGCCATGCATGCCTAGGGATAACAATAGTAATAAATGTTTTCACGTTACAAAATGCCGATATATTTGTATAAAAGTAAAAAAGTAATTAAAAATATTTCGATTAATCGATCAATGCTCCGACTTTTCGGCTGATACTTACAACCGAATAAAATCTCAAACTTTTGACATATGCAATACAAAGATGCAATAAACCCGATAGTTTTATACTTGCTTCTTTTATCAAAACATAATTGTATCCGAACAGATATTGAAAAATTACTTCTGCATCCTTTTCACCACGTAATAATTATATTACAGACAAAAGATATAACAACTTAATTCACACTATAAATGATTACTAGTTCTTTGTATGATGCCTCGAGAATATAGAATAGATCGTCGAAATCTCTTGAGAAATCTGAAATAATTACTGTCCGCTTCAACCCCAAATTAGAGTATTCACAGCAGATATAAACCATATTTACAAAGATGCAATTTAAGCCGCCATAAGACTTGAGTATATATTTGGTACTAAACAGTTTATTTGTTTTCACTCTATTTCAGAAATATTCACCCTGTGAAAGATTCATAATTATAGAATACTGAGCTGCCAGGCTTTGTCTATACTTCGTGTCCTTTTTTACTTATTAGTCCTCAATTTATTTTAAATCAGTTTTTGATTTTCAAATATTTTGGCCTCGAGCATCACTGAAGAGACATTTATTGTCGAAATGCGGTTCAGGTGCAGACACATTGGTATTGTTAATGTTATTAAGTTATGCAGTGACGTAGATGCTACATTATAAACTTTTCATTGGTTTAAAGCCCACCTGCTTTTAACTTTCATTAACTGTTTTATGGTAATGATTTCTTTGACAAATAAAAGAAATTATTTGGTTTTTTTTACACAGTCTGAGACTAGTAAATATGAAGATATCAAATCAATTTTCATAAAAAAAAATATAAAGAAAAGGTGATGTTGGATACACATCGATGATATAGTAGCCCAACCAGAAAGATAACAAAAAGTATTCATAAATTCTTTTAAAAAAGTATAACAAAATAAAGAACTCCAAGGCAAATTCCAAAAGAGGAAGTCCAAACAAACTGACAAAATCAAACGCTATCCATCAACCGAACAAGTGAAGAACAACTGCCATATTACTGACTTGGTACAGGCATTTTCCTAAGAGAATGGTGGATTAAACATCCTACAAGCAAGTCTGCGTGATTCAAGAATTACTCATCGGGGATTCGAATCATTTGAGTTTTATAAATAACCAAACATAATTCAATAAGAATACACATTTCATGTGTTGAAGCTGATAGCATATCCCATCTTTTTCTTACAGTTTTGTTTCACGAACTCCCAATATTTTTCTACCGTTTTAGGTTAATTAATGAATAAAAGTTACCTATTTGGTCAATAAAGTAGAAATCTATAATACTAATAATATATAAATATCAACTAATTGTTTGTTTATGGTGCATTTTTAAGTTGTTGAGTAGGTTCCAATATTTGCATAAAAAGTTGCATTTTATTTAATTTATTTTATTTAATGTATCGTTTCATAATTTGATAAGACTGTCGTACAAGTGAGAGGTTTAGCGCTATAAAACCAGGTTCAATCCACCATTTTCTACATTTGAAAATGCCTGTACCAAGTCAGGAATATGACAATTGTTGTCCATTCGTTTGATGTGTTTTGTCATTTGATTTTGCCATGTGATTAGGGACTTTCCGATTGAATTTTCCTCGGAGTTCAGTATTTTTGTGATTTTACTTTTTTTCAGAAGAAAGTGTTTTATATTGTGTTACACTAGTCTAACAATTCCCGCATGAACATATACCATTATAACTAACCTGCCATAACTCGCACGTTTAGTTGAATAGTTTTTCTCTAAATATACCCAACATTATTAATACTGATACAAATAAATATATAGTTACCACGTCATTATAAAAAAGGATGATATAAATAATGAATTAAATGACTTCTATAAAAATCAATGATACTATTTTTTTTAAAATATCAACATCATTTTACATACTTTATTTTTACAAAAAGACGCTCACGGGATCATTATGTAACTTGTTAATTCATGGTTAGGGGTCACGTTTTGAATTTAAGTGTAGCGAAACGAGTAAATGATCAAGATACTGAATAAGCACATTGAGAATATACCAATCATTTTCATCTCAATTAAAAGAAATGACATCGTAACGCAACGAATATCTATACACAACACAACATTTTAAAGCCTGATTGCACAAATTTACTGCATATTGCAAACTAAAAGTAAAATGTTGACATCACAATCATAAATGTATAGCAAACATAGCAGAAATGATTGTTTAATCACGTCAATAGGTAAAATTTTCGAATAGTCTAAGTTTTAGTGCGAAAATATCAATTGGTCAACATATATTCATACTCACCACAACATTATAAATACTCATTCCAACAAATCTAGAATCATTCACTTGCTTCAATTTGACGCTCCGTGTTTCATATGCTAGAAATATCCCGAATAATAAAAGGATTCCTTTATAACCAAATATAACTCCTGAAATGGAAATATAACATTTAAACCATTTTGGGAACCTAATTCTGTCTTATTATAAACACAATGATAAGAAACCATGGATGAGATCAAAAACCGCAAAATGTGAAAGGACAAACAACACAATTTCAAAGAAAAATGTCAACAACTGATACAGTTAACTGGTCCTCATATCTTGACTTACATCTTTTAAATTGACAATGAGGGTCGTTTGAAAACAAAACTTTACGACAAAAGAGATGATTTCAGCTTCCCAATGGGAACTTTTCATTTCTATGTTGCAACATTCCAGAAAGCGCCTGCATGCAGAGCATATATCTCCCAATTGATACGATATTCCAGGGCTTGTATTTCCTATCATGATTTCCTTGATAGAGGGTTGCTGCTGACAAGGAAGCTATTAAACCAAGAGTTCGATGTAGTGAAGTTGAAATCATCACTTTGTAAATTTTGAGGACGCCATCACGAGTTGGTTTGTACTTACATGAGCAACACGACAGGTTCCACATGTCGATCAGAATCTGCTAACCCTTTCTGAGCACCCCCGTTTTTGACGGGGTTCGTATTGCTGATTCTTTATTTTTTAATGTTGTGTTTTGTTTACCTTTATTTGTTTTTGGTGGTTTATCTTTTTATTGCAGTGGTATTGTCAGTTTGTTACGACTTATGAGTTTGCATATCCCTTTCGTATCTTTCGCCTCTCTTTTACGTTGTATTAAAGTGGGGAAGATTTAAAATCCCATAACTATTGCTGTTACTTGCATAACAAGAGACGAATACATATGTTATTACTCCGTGATTGTACGATCATGATTATTTTAACCCCCAATTTGCTTGTACCTGCAATCATGACATGTGTGTTTTAGCCGATGTTCTACATTTAGATTAACGCTTTAACCGTACGTTTCAAAGAACTATGCACATTTATTCATGACACGAAACAAATAATTAAAGAGTACATTAATTTAAATTGCAAAGAAAACATTACTGTCACGTATAACAAATATTCAGCGACGTCTTTTGGTCATTTTGCAAATAATGATTTATGTTTCACTCAGAAAATCCTGTCTCAGGTTTAAACAAATGAACTCAAATGACTTAGAATTGAAAGATTGATGTTGAGTAAACACTTCTTCGGCGGACATTCAGACAGTTTAAAAACAACATGATTTACAATTGCAGAAAGTATGCACATAAATTGAATTAAATGCATGCATCTGATGCTACTTGATGCAGCTTCGTCTTATTAATCAAAGTAAAGTATTAAGTTTGATGGATAATCTGCATTACATCACAGCACAGTTTTTTTCTTCACAAAAATACAAGATCCATTATTTGTTATATAAGAAATCACACGTTCGCCTTGCAAGATTCTCACTAGTAAATATATCTTTAACTACCAGATTATACAATGCGCAATATGAGTTAGAAACGACACGTAATGCTAGGAACTGATAATTTACGTTTTGATGCACCCAATCGTCAAGTGAGTAGTATAAACACACCTTGTTTGACCTGACCAGTCCGTTCGAATTAAATTGTTTTGTTCAATGTTACCCAAACTGTGTATTGAGGTTTGGCTATATACTGCATAAACATTGATAAAATGTAAGTCTTCTGCGTAAACGATTCTCGTCTCCGCAATTTCCAACTTATTCTCGCTCTTAAATTGACCAGATCCACTCAATATTAAAACATTTGTCAATTTTATTGGGTAATAAATATGAAATGAAAATATCTTAAATTTGAGCTGAACCTTGAAAATAATATCATGTCTTTTTTGTGACCTGTCATTCAGTTCCTTCCCGTTCTCTCTTGGTTTTCAATTGCATAATACAAACAAACACGGAAATTTGTCCGTTTGTTTTGGAGACTAATAAATTTTCAAGCAATTTGCAATTTTTTAATACTCACTTACAATGTTTTTTCAATTGAATTTATTTGCTTTTTAATAAATACGATTAAATATTTACTCCGAATGATCAGGTAAGCAATTCTTGGATTTGATAAGGCATCAATGCTTGATGATGTTCATTTTGTTGTTGTGAAAGTAGTAAAACTTTAAACAGGGGAATGATTAAACACTTACATTTATTGCATATTCAGTAAAATGTGCAGTGTAATAAATAATATGCGTAGGGTTATATTTCTGAGTAGTTTCAAACAAAGGTTATAAGAGAAAAACAGCTGCAAATTGGATAGATATTTGCATATTTTGAGTAATTCTGATCAAAATGAGCAGGAAAAAAATAAAACCAAATTTTCATTCTGAGTAAATCTATATTTTATGTTTCATTTTTATTAATATTGGTTGCTGATGTCCTTGGATCAAATTTTTACAAAACCAAGTAATTTTTCAATATATCACCAAAGTTTTTTCACAAAAATATTTAGGAACAAATTATATTTCGATTGATTCACCTCAAAAGCTAACCAAACCTTTAAACAGACTTATTCGGCAAGGATATAGTTACGATACTGTTGTGAAATAATTAAAGATTGCATATTTTGGTATTAATATTAATCACTCATAGGGTCTTTGCATCGGAAATAAACACATTTTTTCTAAAACCAGTTATTGGCATGATACGGGTTATGTTCTTCTCATATATTTTATGATGGTATTATACTAAACCCCTTACGGGAGGGATTGTACTTGATTTTCATATGATGAAGACATAATCTTTCAATCAGTTTAATTGAGGTCTGGAGCTGACATGTCAGTAACTGCTAGTAGTCCTTTGTTCATTTATGTATCATTGTTATTTTGCTTAGTTTCTTTTGTTACCTATTCTGACATCGGACTTGGACTTCTTTTGAACTGAGTTTTACTGTGCGTATTGCTATGAGTTTCTTTATTCTACATTGGGTAGAGGTATAGGGGAAGGTTTAGATCTCGCAAAACATGTTTAAGCCCGCCGCATTTTTGCGCCTGTCCCAAGTCAGGAGCCTCTGGCCTTTGTTAGTCTTGTATGTTTTTTTTTATTTTAGTTCATTTATATGTTTTGGAGTTTAGTGTGAAGTCCATTTTCGCCGAACTAGTACACAATTTTATTTAGGGGCAAGCTGAGGACCACATCCGGGTACGGGATTTTTCTCGCTGCGTTGAAGACCCATTGTTGGCCTTCGTCTGTTTTCTGCTCTTTGGTCGGGTTGTTGTCTCTTTGACATATTCCCCATTTCCATTCTCAATTTTAATACTTGTATAATATTAACAAATCTTTTAAGCATGCTATTTGGACCCTCCAGTGTGTTTCAATAAATTCCATCTAAAAGTCAGAGATGAAATAAATAGAAGAGAAAGTGATTTAACCAGTCTTGCTGAAGTCGAAACGAACGTGAAATGTTTTGTCGCAAGCTTTCCAAAATTAATTTGAACTCGATATTCCTCTGATTCCCACTGCAATGTTTTTGGCTAATCTAGATTTTATAGGTACTGTTTGACTTAACCAACTTTCAATTTTCTACACTACCCTTTTATCCGTAGTCTTCATGACTTGCAAGATCCTAACTTTACTATGACTGATTAAAATGAGGCCAAGGAAGCGACATTGCGTTCAACTACATAATTTTTCAAGTTTTCGACTAACGACGATTGGAGGTTAACTACAAGTCTGATTTATTCTTTTTTACGTCTCGTTTTTTACAGTCACAGTCTGAATGCATTAATTTAAGAAAATCTTTGAAATCCACTGAGTGCTTTTTGTTTACAAATTATTCATCAATAGTAATTATTATGACTGTGCTTGTGAATATTTACACGTAGAATGTACATTTCTTTAAATTACTTTAATTAAGAATAGACTGAATATAAAGAATCTAAACTGTACATAACATTGAATATAATAAATGTATTAAAAATGGAAATGCATGTACGCAATTGCAAAGGAAAACAGTTGAACATTAAATATAAGAACACACCTAGAAACCATGAAATCACGAACACACATACACGAAAAAAGGAAACAAAACTGAAGTCAGTACGGTTTAACTGTAACAGAATTAAGTGTGTAATAGATTAGGAATCAACTTGCTATTTTGTTGTATTGTCATATTGTCACATTTCGGATTGTTAGCAGAACGGAAGTTTTGAAGATAAGACATTTCGTAATATCAATAATGATAAATCCATAACGACGTAACTAACTTAAATCGACAAACTTTACTTCTTCATTACCGAGCCGAATTTGTGAAATAATAATTTTTTTTTATTAAATTCAGTGAAATACTTATGTACTCGAAAATTGAATCTTTTGTCATAATACCATCAGTAGGGGAACGTTTCTCAGTAATTACAGATTAGAGAAAAAGTTAGATAAATTATGTTGTCAAAAGGCTCCCCTTATTGTCCAATTCCGAATATCTCGTGCAGATTCGAACGAGACCAATTTATCAATTTGTACAAAAGGGAGGTTCTAAAGGTCGACATATCGAAAAAAAATTTGACTGCTACTAAAAAGTAAAGGTATATTAGATAGGATTGCCTTGCAACAGGCCACCTCCGGATCAATCAAAAAGTTGTTGAAGGGTTCCTTAACATTCAGAGGGCGTGGCACTTATCATGCATTGGATTGAACGTCCCCATTCCGCTCAAACTAAGCTGCGAATTTATACATTACATACGACGAATCATATGCCCCACTTAAAAAGCATGGGTGTCACTGGGAGAAGTCAAGAGATGAACATATCCTATAGCCAGTCAATAATTTAAATGCGTCACCTTATCAGAACACCGCCAATATATATATATATATATATGGTTGTATCATAGGATAGTATGCTGGTTTCGTGTCTCTTTTACTTACAATTGTTAAAAGAAACATACTGAAGAAATATACAAGGTTTCAATACAAATTGTTAAAAAGCCACAATGAAAGGATTCACGAAATGCGTCGAATTTACAGCACAAAATTGTGGATCCTGTACATTTTGTATTTATAGACTGTTAACTTACCTAACCATACTGACATATTTTTTGACGTACAGTGCTCAAGCTGGGGTTGGTACATTATATCTTCGTCCGTATTTGTTTGTGTTTCCATGTCAAATGTCTCAACCGTTCTATACAACGGATCCTTGATTTGCCACGTTGTCAGACAGGCAACATCTAATACTAAAATTACTATCAACACTGTATACAGTTCACAGCTGTTTACTTTCTGCAACAGAACATATAAATACGTATTTCATATCGAGTATTAGTTAGTTTAATAAATATATGCTGAATACATGTAATCCCGGGTTCATACCATATCATTTGAACGTCGTTTGCAGTTTTGTTTTTTTAAATGTTCAAAACAGTCTGAACATAAGAAAGCTCATTAAAGATAACAGGCATATAAGTATGTACGCCAGACGCGCGGTTCGTCTAGAAAAAAGTAAAATAACAAAAATACCGCTCTACAAGGGAAATTCAAAACGGCAAGTCCTTTCTAAAATGGCACAATCTAAAGCTCAAACACATCAGAAGAATGGAAAACAACTGTCATATTCCCGACTTGGTACAAGTATTTCCTAATGTAGTAAATGGTGGATTCAACCTGGTTTTATAGCTAGCTAAACCTCTCACATGTATGACAGTCGCATATAATTATATCATATTGACAACAATGTGTGAGCAAAACAAACAGACATAATAGGTAAAAATGTAAAAAATTGATTACTAGAAAATACTCTAAAAAATGAAAAAAACATTTTATAAATTTCATGCGTCCAAAGCGCTTTTCTGGATTTACCTTTAACATGGAACGCCGAACGCCGAATATCTACTTGTACTAAAAAAATGAACAGGTAAATGAGAATATGTTCTATTCCCGATTGTAACATTTTGAGACTATCCTGTCGATGTACACGGTCTTACTCCTTTTGGAGGTTATGCGATTCCCTCGGTTTCTTTTGTTACCTTGATTTTTTGTCTTAATCGGTTTGTAGGATTTGAATATCTGTTACTGTTGCCTTTTTAAATATAATTATGACATAATATACGAGTTAATGCTAGTCTCCTTTGAACAGCGGTATTCAGCTTTGTAAACGGCAAAAGGGGTGTTAATCGATAAAAAACGTAGAAAATTATAGGTCATTCGTTTTGAAACCCGTTTGTTGTCGCCTGATGGAACCGTTTTAAATTTCAAGTTGAAAATAATATAATCATACATTGTGGGACATGTAATGTACTTATAACACCAGTTTATTTTACAATCCATTGCACAATCATCTGCTAAAAACACAGAAGGTCAGATTTAGACATGTATTAGCATAATGATTCCGCGATATCTTGATTTGAGCCTCAAACAGTAACATACAATGATACTGAATATTACTTGATGATTGAATTTCATTTATCATTTAAAGTTATTTAGTATCATAAAACTTACCTTTTTTTCTTTTTTCCTAGCAGTAGTCAACCTGTGAACTGTCCAAATTTTTGAAAACATCCCCCCATATCCTAATGTGAAACCAAGTGACAATAACCAACATCGGATCTTGAAATGGAGACAATATGAAAAACAGAAAAGATACAAACAAATCATATAGCTGCTATTTTATCTTTTTTTTTTATCTTTCAATAATGCATAAATAGGTATAGAAAAGTGTGTTATGCAATTAATCATTTATAAGATGAGGAAACTGAATTACAAAATGTACTGCTAACATTGTATCTGCCATATACTAAACAGAGAGATAGAAAACGTTTTTGACCATGTTGTCGAGGTATATAGTATATGTGTTCATATTTTGTTAAAGAAGATAAGGTTTGCCAGTTACCCATTAACGACAGGACCCTTAACATCGTTACTCTGATATCAATTAGCAACGGAAGTTCAAAAAGTGAATATCATCAATCAACAATATTAAACAAGAAAGTAGATTAAATTTAATATAAAATGGAAAACTGTGGCTGTATTCTATAAAAACAAGATGTAAAGCCGATAGGTAGTTACCTGGCAGATAATAGGAAAAGTGGCTGGTTCAACAAACTGTCCATCCAATCCCAACAAGAAAATTGAAATCAAGCACATCATACAACCAAATATGGTTATATTATTCATATTTGGTTGAGAATATGCTATGCATCTACAAAATAAGTGCATTTTCAGCATCATATGTGTATTGAAATCAATTTAGATGTTAACTCTAATGTAATGAATGTGATGTGTTATGCATTGTTGAGTCCTTATCAATTCTATCAAGTGATCACCGACCTAGCGTATTCTGGTAACAGTCAAACGTTAGTATTATTACTAAGAAGCTAATATCACTTTATTGCATTTCAAACTTTAATAAAAAAAAACTTGCTACTACAGCTTAATTGTTCTTAACGTTATTAATTATAATTACAGGGAAACGTGTTCTCATAAGCTGTAGTAGCAAGGTTTTTCATTAAAGTTTGAAATGCGAACACGTTTCCCTGTTATTAAAATTAATAACGCTAAGAACAATTTCTCTGGGAAATAAAAAAAAATGTTAAATAAACCCATTTTGTAACCCAAGTGAATCTTTGACAGTTACATTTGATAAAATATTCTCAGATTTAAATGTAATCTACACATTATTATCTCAAAAGATTTTACTTAGATTAAATGCATATAAAGATTTCCATTTTTTTATTCTCGGTTTCCATAAATTTGAGCTGAATGTTATTAAAGGCATTGTTAATCACAAAAGTGCTTTTTGGTGTACAAAAGTCAACAAAAACACCCGTATAGAATTGTGTTCCTTATTTTCAGTGTGTGTGTTTTTTTTCCATTCTGTTAATGGAATGAAGCAATGATTTCCTGCCATTGAGAATAAACAATATCTACTTTAGCAGTAACGCATATTTTTTATCAAAGTTGTTAGTTTTGATATCAAATTCATCGTAATTTTTACATTCTTACCAATAATTCTGACAGCAAGATTAAAATAATTATGCTTGGTTAATCAAATGTCATCTTATATTTCGCAATTACTCCTTCATCTAGGGATGGATGACCAAAGCTTCACATGGGAATATTTTCATTCCCAATGAAGTTTATATATATCGATTATGCAGCATATTTGCAGTGGTCAAGGTTTTCATCATTTGTCCGATATAAAATTATAACCGTCACATTCATTCTTAGAAAAAGGCTACTGAATATGGCGTCATGCGCTGAACAATTACTGAAAATGAAGACTTTTGCCTTCATTCATGAGCAAATACAATTAAAATCAGATACTAGTAACTATTGGCAACATATGAATTAAGCAGATAGTTGATAGTGAAAAAGACAGGATGTTGAATGAATGATTTCACGAAGAACAACGCTCAACTACTTTTAAAGCATTGCAATGTCTTCAAAAACAATAAGAGTGCATTTTATTATTCGGTACGATGTATGTTTACTCTATTTTGGCTTCTTGATCCTAATTATCGTTATCAAGTTATTTCTGTTTGAGTTGTTCACACCCAAAGCTGTGTCAATAATAAAGGAACTATTAAACAACTGTCATACAAGTGGGAGGTTAAGATAGGTATAACACCAGGTTTAACTCACCATTTACTTCGGAAAATGACTGTTCCAAGTCAGGAATATGACAGTTGTTTTCCAGTAGTCCGTTGGTTGTTATAGCTTTAATAGAGATATTTTTGAAATACTAAGGCTTTTCTACCTCAGGAATAGATTACCTTAGCTGTATTTGGCAAAACTTTTAGGAATTTTTGGTCCTCAATGCTATTCAACTTCGTACTTTATTTGGCATTTTAAACTTTTTTTGATTCGAGCGTCACTGATGAGTCTTTTGTAGACGAAATGCGCATCTGGCGCAAATACAAAATTTTAATCCTGGTATCTATGATGAGTTTATTTTAAAGACTTCCACTTTTTTGAATTTACTTTAGAGTTTGTTTTTTTTGTTAATACAATTTTTCACACTTTTTTTTGTTTCATTTAATGTTATAGAACCACTGATTAGACCCGGCCAGACAGAACATACAAGAAAGTAGTACGTTTTAAAATCAAAGTAGTTCCGACGCATATCTGTAACTTTGTCAATAAGTAAATTATATGGTAATTTAGTTATCAAATGAAACCTTAAGGACTTGGGATAACTGAAAACCATTGTTAAAAGTTTCTTTTGAATAATAAAAAAATATATTAAAATAAGATAGAAGGGCTTATTCGCCGTGTTGCTCAGATCAGCAGTTTTTGTACTACCAAACTGAAATTTTGAAACCAGTGCGCCAAAATATGCAATTAACGGGATGTTGATTTTTTTCAGCACAAGTCAGGATAAGGTATAGTTTTGACATGAAATGACTACTATTTTATTTGAACTTAAGACAAAATAGCTATGAATGCTTGAAGATGCAGAATTTAGTATAGAAAGCAATGGGGGGCAGCGAATTAGTGGTGTTATTCCCAATAATGTCTTCTCTGATTGTCGTAAACCCTATACCCTATATTTCTTATTATTAATTATTTTATCACAACAAAGAGCCATTGACAGGTAAATTTAGTCGTCTCTGAAAATTATGGCCTGAATAATTACTTTAGTCTAGAATGTACACAATATTTCAGTCAAAAGTCATAAAGGTTGTACACTAATACACACAATATCAATAGTATAACGCATCGTTAAAAACCAAACCATCAATGTGTAAATATTGTAAAACAGCTGATTAAAAAGTATGTCCCAGAATCTTCAACCCTCTAATAGACGATGCACAAGTTCGAATAGTTTATTAGGGGTTTGAAATCCTATCGTACCTTCTATGTTTGTTGGCAATATTAAAACACAGACATACAATTCCAAAAATTATCCCCAAGGCAGCTAAGGCACAAACAGATACAAATAAACTGTATGTTACAACTCTTAGGAATGGTTCTATTTCGGTACGATCTGGTGGCGGCTTTTCACCTAAAAGTAAGAATTTAACACAACCTCCATTAGTAGAAATATTAATCACAGCGTTCAAATGTACATAATTATAAAATCATAAAACCTAGATAATTTAATTGAAATCGTGATGAAGGAGAACTATCTAGTTGTTATAAATCAAGATCAATTGGTTGTAAATATATTTGGTCGATGTGTTGTTTTCAATTTACAAATTTTAATTCGGTATAAGTCAAAACCTAAGTGTTTAGTATTTATCCTCTTTTTTCTTGGAATTTCATCCCAACGCACATCTCTGTGTGTCTCTTTTTTACATACCTTTCCATTTTAACTCCATACTGAATATACAGTGTGAGTATTAACTTACCCTTCCATTTTTCAGCATCAAACCATGTAAAATTATCTGAGTTATAATCATAGTAACCTAATTTGCGATATGTTCCATCTGAAACAGATAATAAACTTCTTCACCTTTATATGTTTTGGTAATGCATAGCTCAAAGCTAATTTATATTAAACATTTAAAATTCTATGGTACTGTAGAAGATAATTGAATACAACCCTGACATTCCTTATTTCATGTATATTGAGAAAAAAGCCTAATGTTATACAAAGAAAAGATCGTTAAAGACACTTTCTTGACTCTTGCATTACAAAGCTATGCTGATGATCTTTAAGGAAATTCAAAGACTATAAAACTCATCAAAGATACCAGATTTATAATTTTTTACGCTGTACGTGCGTTTCGTCTACACAATACTCATCATTAAAAGTAAAACTAGTTATTGAATAGATAAAGCAAAATTTTAATGTAATTTTCACTACTATAAACGGACGAAGTTCTGCTTTATAAACACTTTAGTCTATAGTTATTTTGGTAATTTCTGCGATCACATTTTATGTTCTATATACTTGATATGTTATAGGAATTCAGACGTTTTGAAATAGCTTACTTATCATCTGTTCAATCTGTGTCCAAGCAATTCTGTCACCTTCCGAGGAGAAAGCAACATTTCCCTTAAAACATAAAATTAACAATATATCTAATAATCATAATTTTAATACTGATATATATCGAACGTCTAGACACAGTCAAAGAAATATTACGTTAGCCAATACCTCAATAAAAACAATTTGTTTCAGTGAACCAAATTAAGACAAGGGCATACAATACATAAAACACCGTGCTACTGAAGACTCTAAAGATTTAATAGAAAATTAAATACTCTGTCTGATGACTGCTAACGTTGATTAATTGAAGTTATATTATGTTTGCTTGTATGTTTCCGATACAGCACCATAAATCACAAGACAAAGAGCTTGTATACGAGTAAACAAAGTTTAAGGTATCTGGTTGATGCTGTCTCTGTTACTCCAGACAGAGGTTTGATCAGGTTGTGGTCACAATTTTGCAAACTCATTTCATAAAACTTTTAATTAAAAAATATACACTAAAATGTCTAGCATTAAAATCAATTGCCTCATTTTTTTTTTTGCTTGTATACGAGTAAACAAAGATTAAGGTATCTGGTTGATGCTGTCTCTGTTACCCCAGACAGAGGTTTGATCAGGTTGTGGTCACAATTTTGTAAACTCATTTCATAAACCTTTTAATTAAAAAAATATACACTAAAATGTCTAGCATTAAAATCAATTGCCTCATTTTTTTGGCTTATTTAAAATAAATACAATTGAACAGACGACGACGACGACGACGACGACGACGATGATGATGATGATGATGATGATGATGATGAAAAGAGGAAGCAAAACAAAGTAAACAAACCGAAACTCCAAGAAATCTGGTATTATTCATTGCTGAGTAAATTTCTTTCGTAACATCATCACTGTAATAGTCGAAATGTTCCAAAGATTTCCTTTGTTCCACCAACCTAAAAATTAAAACTACTGCTATCGTTGTCATTTTAAACTTCGATAAAATGTTCTTTCAACAATCGCTGACAACACAGTGATTCTAATCATTTCTTTACTGATGAATAAAAGGAGTTGTTGGATAAAGTCAAAGATAAAGCAACCCAACGATACAAACACCGGAAAACATATCTAGAAATTTGTTTTGTATTTCAAATTAAGACAAGGGCATGTTATATGAACTTGTCAACTTTCCCTTTCATAATCCTATTAAATGTTTCTGTTTTATTAGAATAATTTATCAAATGTCTAATGATCATTTTGTCATTGAGTTATTATCTCACTAGTTACAAGTAGCAAACATCTTCTTATCTTCGTTGGTCATCTCAAAGAGATTGATTTTCTCGCTTGAGCCGGTACTGCGAAAGTGAGAAAAGCAATCGAGTTGAGATGACCAATAATAATCTATTTATCGCTATTTTACCTATGACGACGTTGTTAATTTCACTGACAACGCCACGTACACCCTTAGTTTCTAGCGATAATTTTTCATATCACTCTACTTTGCTGAGAAAGGAAATTATCAGTCGGTAAGATCAAAGGACAATTTCGTAAAATAGCGATAATCATATTTATCATTACATCTACCAACAGTCAGGATGAGATTGTATTCCACAGAAAATAAAATTACTTCAAAAGAATAATCAGCGTCGTTTTATTTGTTTTACAAAAAGTATCAGAATCCAGGAAAGGTTTTTCAGAGGTACCATCTATTCTACTACTGAATCTTGGTGATGACCATTAGACCTCTATTATAATTTGATTTTGAATTAAAGTTATCCGGCATAGCTGTGCTGTGAAATCGCTATATTTATAAGGGAAAAAAACGTACTTCGACTAGCTCAACAAAACTGGTTGAAAAGGAAACACTCTTTCGGTAGTTTGCAAAATCGTTTGGGATTTGGGATCCTCAATGCTCTTTAACGTCGTACTTTAGTTGGCTTTTTTACCTTTTTTTATTCGAGCGTCACTGATGAGTCTTTTGTAGACGAAATGCGCGTCTGGCGTACACAACTTTAACCCGGGTATCTATGATGAGATTTTCAGTACCGTATCCTTAGAGACCAACCGGCACTGTTTAACATTGGGAGCATGTATAAAGCCATGACGCTTTTAGCAGCCAGTTGCGTTTTTTTTTTTTTTTTTTTTTTTTTTTAAAGCTAAGAAACATCGCTAATAAATTATTCACTTGCGAGTGAATAATTCGACCTCATTGAATCCGTATTCATGTGACCTTCTATTTAATCCCTTAGCTAAAGATGTGTTACGCATGAACTAGGCGTGTTCAGCTATTACAAGGAAAAGATTGTAAACATTGAAAGTAAAATAAGGGTAAACAATTTGTGTACTGATTCGATCCGCAAAAACGTATTCTTATACAGGTGAAAACGATGATTAACATATTTGTTTAACCTATAATATGAAATCAAACAGAGCTAGAAAAAACCAATTGCACGTGTTCGCTATCTTTTGATATCTTTATTAATGTTGATATTGGGTTATATGACCGTCGACAGTCTTCGGAGGTCACCTTGATGGTTAATCAGATTGCGTCTAGACTAAAATACACACGAAATTCTGATACATACTATCGTGCCCATGGATGGTTAATTGTTCATTTTTGACTTTTTGTAAGTTGGATTTACGTTTTAATAGGTTATAAATCAAATATGAGAACTTAAGTCAAATTCGTAAACAAGAAGTTGACAGCTAATTCCCCTTTGACTGTATCTGTGATACCCTCTTTTTTTTTTAGGTAAATGAGATATATAATTAACAGTCACAAAAAAATGTAAGAGGACATCATCATTACAGCGTCACTATAAGTTAAAGGATAACACCAGCTTCTTTTCAATCCTCGTTAATGTATGAAATGATTAAGATAAAATACCTTTATGGTATTTTTCTTTAGTTCATTGCTTTTACTGTTAATTGTTTTCTGAAGATCACTAAATAGTTAAAGAGCCAGGCATAAATTTCCCTCCCATGAATTTTTTTCCGACTTATTATCACTATGGCCATTTACAAAAAAAGTATTTCAATCTTTATAAAATTTTCCAGTATCACAGCTTTATTTGCTAAAATTTGATAACATAAAACTACCAATTATGATGCCCCCCTCCCCCAACCCCTCCAAAAAAAAAACAAAACAAAAAAACACAAAAATCATGTAAATGTTCAGTATCGGATAAATTGTGTATTGCACAGCAATGTTTGGGAGCTGATTGAATGGCGTTTTGATTTTATAAATACATGTATATTTGAAATAGCAGAAGAATCTTCAAAGTATATTATATAGAATCTGTGATATTAATTTTCTGTCGGATTTTATCCCATGAGTGAACTCGATTCAGGGCATTGTACATACTTTTTACAAATAAAAATGTCCTCCAAGGCAAATTCATATATATAGCAAAGTTGTTATTAGTCTGGTTTGTTGCGGACCTTTTAGGTATTTTTATTTTTGGAACACTGTATGATCAGTTAAAAAGATATATGGGTACTGTTTATATGAATAGACAGCACGCTATTGATCTATTGAACAAAATTCAAATGCTTCTGAATTATCTTCGTCATTTTTTGTTACTTGTCATTGCGCTGTGTGCATGTCATTACTGCAACACGACCAAGAGCCTATCAATGCTATTCAGTGAGGTTGACATATGACTTTCAAAATATCAATTAGATTTTAATAACCTTTAAAATTGAGCTTCACAGTTCATGATCTAACAGGGATGTTATACAATTAACTTGAGATTGATTTTTAATGCTACGAACGTTGGCTTTAATTCGATTAGCTGGAAGAAATAAGTGACAGTGTAAACTTAGAAATTCTAAAAGTGCTTAGGTTATCTGCATGTAACATTTTGAAACGGTTGATACATACAAAACGTCGAAAAGGGGAGAAGAACCAAGGGGTCAATCAAAGACCATAAGAAGATAAGAAGATAATAGACAAACAGATAAATAATAGCCGACAAAACACTACACAGTATTCCAAATATTGAGCAACATCCTTACGTGAATTAAGCAGATCCGGAATTGTCAGATCTTCCGGTTTAAAAAGTACACCGATTTTTTCCCCCTAAAGATGCTAATGTATCCGGTGATGAGCAAAACCTGATGATGAGTTATAACCGTATAACCGATGGTGATTCACAACCAATTAGAAGCCATAACCAGTATTGAGTCATAACCAATGATGAGTAATAAACAATTTCGATCCAATGATGAGTCATAACACATGATGAGTCATTACCACGAGTCATAAACAATGATGATTCTTAACCAATGCAGAGACATACTCAATGGCAGGTCATAACCAATGACGAATCTTAAATGACGATTCATAATAATTGATGATTCATTAATACAACAATTCATAATCAATGATAAGCAATAACGAGTCAAAACCAAGGATGAGTCATAACCAGTGACGAGTAATAATCAATTTTAAGCCATGACAGTTGACAAGCCTTAACCAATGACGAGTCACAACGAAGGATTAACTATAAGGCGTCAAAACCAATGATGCATCATAGCCATAACATGTCATAATCAATGATGATTTCTTACCAATGACGAATCATAACCAATGGCGAGTCATAAACAATAGAGAGTCAAAACGAGTCATAACCAATAATCATCAATAACCGATTACCAATTATTAGCCAAAACCAATGAGACACAACACTACAAAAGTCTAAAAGTCTGAAAAGACCAGTTTTTGTCTTAATTTGCATGAACTTTTACTCGACATTCTCCAAAAGTATGACTTATGTCTTAATTTTTCTTGACAAATTCTCATTTATATTAAATTTGTATGAAATTTACTCGACATATTCTCGACATTCTGAATATGGTCTTAAAATTTCTTGAAAAATTCTTGACATTTGAATACTGTCTTGAAATTTCTCGACATATTCTCGACATTCTTATTTTTTCTCAGTATGGCTTGACATATTCTGAACATTTTGAATCGTGTCTTTAATTTACTAGACAGTTCTGAGTTTTACAAATCATGACCAATATTCATGATATAACTTTAATCTTTATTTCTCTTTATATGATATACTGTTGTTTCAAGTTACACTTCTTTACAACAAAAATAAAAGTTGGGCATGTAAAATAATTGAAAATTTGGGTATATAAATATTTTAACAAATGCAAATATGGCTATGAAATCTAAAGTATAAAATAATTCAAATGTGGGTGTGTTGATATACATGTAAAACAATTTCAATGTGGGATTTTAAATAATTACAAATTTTGATTCCTAAATCTTATAAATTAAATGATTCAAACCAATCATACTGTAGACATATTTCATTCTACATTCATAATATTCAATGTTGATATGGTAAATAACTATTATACCAAAATGTGGTTTATATAAATAGCAAATTATGATGATATACAAATCATTCATTTAACAGAAGAAAAATTTGTGTAATGTCATCTGTTGGAATATATTAAGTATTACACATGGTCAGGATGTTCCCCATAAAATTAAGGTATTCCACACCCAAGAGTACACGCAACTGTCAAATAGAAGTTATTGCTTTACCTGTAATCAACCATACAATTTATCAGTTGACCGACCATGCCACTACAATTTAAAAAGTTTGTTGATAGATGAAAATGAAAATCATCATTTTGATGAAAAAAAATTGAATTGAAATGGATTTTCTTCATCAAAATTATGAAGTTAATTATTTTAACATAAAAACAAATTGACTAATTCCCAAAGATTAAAAGAAAATTATTATCTACTCCAGGAATAATAAAAAAAATGTATTTATAATGGGTCCCATCAATGATTTCTATAGAAATCATCGGTCTTATGAAATGGTTCTCAAACAGACATGCATAATATAGATCTAAACATTTTTTTCTTTTCAGGAAGGAGTTATCACAAATATTTATTTTTGATAAAAAATTATAAAATTCAACACTCAAATTTGAATAAAAAATGTTTTTGGGTTGTTCTAAAAAATGAATAAGGTTTTTGAATCAAGATGGGAACAAATTCTTTGACCTAAACGAAAGCCCCCCCCCCCCTCTTTTTTTAGCCACACAAACCGAAAAGATGAATTGTGGGGTCCAAAAGAGATACAAGACACCTATTTTAGTAAAGCAAATTTGACTGGCAGTTTTGCGAATAGCAAAAATCTAAATGCTGTTTGTCAATACCTTCGACATATATTCCAAGTGAAAACAATTACTTAAATGTTTAATAAAAATAAATCAAAATTAAACTACATGGGGGATTATTCAGGGTATTCCAACTTAGTTGCACCAAAAGGGTATCTTACTATACCAAATTAATCCTTGATTCTTCAAAGTTTAGTTTAGCCATAATAAAAAGGAGTATATAACAGCAATAGAGTGTCATAAACAGTGCAGAATAAGTCTGTTCACATTTCAGGCGAAATTTATACTGTTGAGATAGTGTCAAGACATATTTAAGACTGTCAAGAATGTGTCGAGACATATTCAGACATTATTTAGAATGTCAAGAATATGTCGAGACATATTCAGACATTATTAAGAATGTCAAGAATATGTCATGACAGATCGAGACAAATTTAAGACAGTCAAGAATTGGTCGAGACTAATCCAGACTCTTATCAGATGATACAGGAAGTGTCGAGAAATTTTAAGACAATGTTCATACTGTCAAGACACTTGTCAAGAAAAATCAAGAACCTTATTAGACAAATTCATACTATATCAAGAATTTTTAAAAATTATTCAGACAAATTAAGAATGTCGAGTAAAAATTCATGCAAATTCAGACAAAAACTGGTCTTTTCAGACTTTTTGACTTTTGTAGTGCAATGAATCATAACCGATGAAAATACATCACCTATAATGTACCATCATAAGCAGATTGGTAAAAGTATCTTGTTTAAAATTTAGACATTATCAAATATAGAAATCCACCACAGAAAAAAGTAATTTTGTCAATAACTAATAAGAATGTACAATGTTTTTAAAGTCGAAAAACCTTTCTCTTGCTTGTAAATATTATTAGAAAAGTTCTCTTGTTAATTTGTATCGTTGGGTTGATGTTTCATTAAATCATATTCTTTATAAACTTCGATTATAAGGATCAACATTATTTCCAGCTAAAACAACTAATTGTACGATTTGTTGATATTTATATATTCACACATGGCAACAAGATAAAACCCAAAACGAAACAACAACAAAAAGAAAAAAGTCCCAAAAAGCAACAAAAGGCATAGAATATAAGTAAGTATTTTATAAACTAGTTTTCTATAAAGATTAAAACATACTGTAATGGTTACCTGCAAAATCAAAACGAGAGGTGATTGGGAAGGAAGAATTTGCATGCACATGTTGCGTCCAGAGTTACGACTCATTTAGTGATTTAGAACTTGTTATACAGAAGTACCCACACTACCAAAATATTAATACCTAACTATGAACATTTTATCCTTCCGATATTGAATACTGTTCAAGGGTAGTGTCTGAACCTGTATCATTGAAACGCATCCTTCTTTGTGAATTTATCAAATATAAAACACAGAAGAAAAGAAAATATTCATTTATTGTTTCCTCTTTCTGTTGCATATATTTCCGGATTCTTGATTTTGGTTACTATTGCGTTTTCCCAATTTTCAATTTAAGGCTTTAGTAATGAAAACGTCTTTAATTTACTCTTACAATAACATAAACGGTTCCAATTTTTCTGCACCAGATGCGCATTTCGACAATCAATGTCTCTTCAGTGATGCTCGAGGAAAAAAAATATTTGAAAATCCAAAGCTTATTAAAAAGATAAAGAGCTATAAACCAAAAAGGACAAAAAAGTATAGCCAAAGTCGGACAAGGAATCAGAGCTTTGCATGAGGGAGATACATTCCTTAATTTTAAATAATTTCCAAAATTTTGTAACAGCAAATTTAAATACCACAAAATCCGTATTTTCATGTCAGTACCGAAGTACTGGCTAATGGGCTGGTGATGCCCTCGGGGACTATCAGTCCACAAGCAGAGGCATCGGCCCAGTGGTAGTAATAACATACACGGTATTTGATGTTTTCCACTAACAAATGTACAGATTTCAATAAAATATGATAAATTAAAAAAAAAACATACACGGTATTAATTTTTCTGCACCAGATGCGCATAAAAATGTATATAAAAAGACTACTTGGTTTGCTTACTAATAAGACAATTATCATACTGAGTCCAAATGACGTGGACGTAAATAATGTATTATACATATAATGTGTACCGTACGCAAAATCTATACCGTATAGCCAGCTACAAAAGACCCCGACATGAAAAAATGTGAAGCAATTCAACCTAGAAAACCAAAGGTTGGATTAATAACAAAAAAATAAACGCAGAACAAATATAACAAACAACAACCAACCACAACCACTGAAAATCTTTAGATGTATAAGAAAGTACATGATTTTTCTTTTTCATGCTCATATAATATATATCTTTTGATAAGATGTTAATCTATATATAAATATCAATTCTTTTACGCAAGTTGTAAATCGTTTACTTCTGTTGTTGCTTCATGCTGATTTCAAATATTTTGATCTGAATTAATACGCACTGATGTAGTTGCTAATTGATGCAATATTCTTTACTCGAATGAACTAATGGCCACTCACAATGGTTTCTTGCTAACAATTACGATCTCTTTTACTATACAGTGATGGCTTCACAGCAACAATGATGTATCTTCTTCACAGGACACAAAGCCAGCAATAAATAGATTGCTGCTAAATTATAACACAGATCTAATTAACCACTGGTGCTGCAGAACTACGAAAGTGCATTGTCAAATCAAATATAATTTCGGTAGCTGTGAAATGTTGCATGCTGGGTAAACAAACAAGGAAGATTAAGAAGAAATTTATTACAGATCAACCGACGCAAAAACATTTTTATTGGGAACAATCATTCTATTTCTGCCAAAAAAGGAAAATAAACTACGCTTATTTTCTTAATGAAAAGAAAATACTAAAATACAAATATAATCTACTCATTATATAAATTTATTAACATAAAGGCGATGACATATTACAAATTGCAAAAAAAGTTAAGAGCTGTGTCTGAGAATACTGGTTATATAATACAAGTCCTTAAATAAGAATACCTCAGGGGAAAAACTATAATTTCATTCGCTAGATGTTAATTTGATCCAGTATTTTCTCAATATTAACAGGTTTTTAATGCCACATAGATGTTTCAAAAACATGGACGCCTCAAACTATTTAAAACTCGGTGAATTCCTTTTTATCTCTCTATGACCTTTATTTGTAAGTGATTAATTTAAAGTTTGAATGACAAACATTAATTTGCTTAACAGGGATGCCTCAAAACAATTTAAACTCTGTGAATTCCTATTATCTTTACATGAGTTTTAAACGTGAATAACAAATTTGTAAGAAATCATTTTGCTAAATATAATTCAATAATGACAAGAAAGTTTACAAGTAATAAACTGAAGAAAACATGATTTTGATTTAAACAAAACAGGTTTGAACCTGATATGAAGAAGACGTATGATGCCATTTACGTATTTGAGTATCCGAGTACACCACTTAGCATTACACACTTACTGCATTGAAGTTTTATTCAGTGCTAAAGCTAAAGCCCAGACAGCATCATAAGCTAGTGGGGCCTCTGGATACCCAACGATCTGACTTGTATCTGTATAATTCAGTTTTGCATCCAATCTTTCCTTGAATCTGTGTGAAGTCTGAAAAAGCCATCATAGTAAATCACTCAATTGAATTAAACAGATAAATAAATATCATAAAGTTTTATTTAAAGTGAAATTGTTATAAGAAAAAACTATAAAACTAACTTTCAAAAAGACAATGGTTAATTTGATTGGGCATAAATTGCATGAAAATTAGGAGGCAACCACTGGGTTTTCCATTTTGACGTGTAATTGTAGGAATTACAGCTTGAGGGTACCTCCTGATTAAAAACAATTGAATGTTTGAATGTGAAAACATTTTGTTTTTATTTTGAAGAAGTTAAATGAAATGTTTGTTTTGTAGGCCAGTTTGAAATAGTTCAATATCGTCAAACTGGTTTTGACAACCAATCAAACCACACTCTTTTAAATGGTTGACAATTTGATATCATATTCAAGATATGCTTAAGGTAGATCATAAGTATATACTTTTTGAGACAGAATTTTCTTATAATTTGCCAAAATGAATATTCTACTATGCTTTTTTCAAAAATATAATAAAAAGTATGGGTCACCAAGCTATGAGTCGTTGAAAATTGCCTAAATTTGGTTACATTGTTCATGAAAAAACACATTTGTGTGCATAAAAAAAATTCTATGAGATAGAATTTTGAAATAAATTGTGAGAAGATAGGTTTTATTATATGTTTTAAGAAAATAAAAATAAAAAGTGGTGTTACCGAACTTGTTTTCTTGCTACTAGTAAAAATTAAAAATTTCCCTATTAGTCCAGTATAATTTTTTTACTAAAAGAGTTATCTCCCCTTAAATGTCTCATTTGAAAAAAAAATGATTCTAAAAAACAAACAAAAATGATATTTGTTTAAATATTTTGAATAATACAATAAATCACCAAGTTTTCTTTATATAAATAAACAGTCTAACCATTAAATTGCAAATCTGTCTCCAAATTTGCAGATTTGGACAAATAACTAGACCGATTTTGTACTGTGATTGTACAATCCAAGATGGCGGTATACCATGAATCTACCTTAATCTCAGAAAACTCAGGAAAAATTGGAACTTTACTAAGTAAGCATTACATTTGAATTAATTCAAATATACGAATTTAGAAAGAATAAAAAAAGTCGAAACGTTCATCGTATTTAACATTTAATACTTTACAATGAACATAACTTTTTTCTGTCGATTCATAATCAAGTAAGAAGAATATGACAACTTTAAAACGCAAACGAAAATCCTTAGATCAACTTATTAGTTTTTAATTCCTAAGTCACGTGTGTATGTATAACAGATTTAAAATTGAGGAACTTAAACACAAAACCGATCAACCCCTTTAAAAAGGCAACAAGAGGGCTCATACGCTTGGTAAAGTGCCATATTACTTATAATAATGATATTCGAATAAAAGTATCCGAAAATGAAGAAGCACAACACTAAATTGTAATAGAATTAAAACAAATATGTCTTATCCCTGATTTATTAAATTATAGTTTATACACGACACAATGTATCTTCTATCTAAGAGTTAAGAAGCCTCCGTCAATCTATTTTTAGATTCTATTATTGTTTACTCCTAGAGGGGGTATGTGTTTTGATGATCAGATTAAAGAACTTACCTACACGTGTATCATATGTTTTTTAATCAGCTATTATTTCACTGAAATCGAACTATCTACACATATTGTTAATCTACAACATTTCATATGGATTTATTTAATCTTTGAACGTTATTGGACATTTATTCTTTGATTGTGAAGACTGTGTCAGTTCTTTATTCATGTGTCGATATGACAATTAATTGTGCGTCCTATTAAAATGAACTCCGTATGATCCGGAACTTGGCGAATTTGGCTTTGACAAGACTCTGCTCTAAGTCTGAGCCAAGAAGACATAACATTCGTTTTCCATTAACACCCGTAGATCCTCGTAGGATGGCTCTATTTCGTATTATTGGAATTAATAAGTTCGGACATGACAGCATGAACAATACACTAGACACGACCACTGATTTGAATACGCGTGCGCGATCCCAAGATGCATCAATGTAAACATTAATCAGTATCGGTTTGTTGTTCGTGTTAACTTGGTGTTAAAGCTATCGTCGAATATCTACAACTTTCAACAGAACGTGATTTCTTTGAACAATAAAGTTACTGACAATCTTAATATTTCTTATAATAGTAATAACTTTTAATCGTAGTCATAATCTTCTACGACATCGTTGGTTTAAGTCCGCAAGTTATTCCAAACACGATCAACACTAGTCCAGTGTCTCGACGATTCCTAATTCAACAGCACCTTCGGCAACTCTTAGACCATACACAATTGGGGTTTACCATACAACTGCAGCAGGGAGTGAAGAACAGCACGGATATTCGAGGACACAAATAGGATATACATATATACGTCTGCACTACTTAAGGATATGCAACTGAATATCTTTTATTGGTGAAAACTTTGCCTTTCTAATTCAAGAAATCATACTCCTCCAATTCAATAATACTTCAGATTGGTTCATTACTGCCCGATCTTTGCACCTGCCGGGATCTCCCCAAGTGAACATTGCATAAGTATAAGTAATAATTATGTATTTTAATGTTTTATTTATACTCCGATGGGATCTCTCCGGAGTCTCTTAGGCCTGCTTGGTTCTCCCAGTCTATTCTCTGTGTTCTATATTGCTATACACCTGCTTGGATCGCCCCAGGTAAACTTTCTTATTGTATAGGTAATAAATATGTATTCTAATTAATTATTTTTACTCTGCTGGGATCTCCCCGGAGTCTCTTAGGCCTGCTGGGGTCTCCCCAGGTCGTTTATTCTCTTTATTCTACATTGCTCTACACCTGCCGGGATCTCCCCAGGTGAACATTTCATACAGTGTTAGTAATAATTATGTATTTATATGTATTATATTTAACTCCGCTGGGATTTCCCCGGAGTCTCGTAGGCCTGCCGGGATCTCCCCAGGTCGTTTATTCTCTTTATTATATTGCTCTACACCTACCGGGATCTCCCCAAGTGAAAGTTTTTGTCTACTCCGCTGGGATCTCCCCGGAGTCTCTTAGGCCTGATAGGATCTCCCCATGTCGTCTATTCTATTTATTATATATTGTTCTACACCTGCCGGGATCTCCCCGAGTGAAAGTTTTTGTCTACTCCGCTGGAATCTCCCCCGGAGTCTCTTAAGCCTGCCGGGATGTCCCCATGTCGTTTATTCTTTCTATTCTATATTGCACTACACCTGCCGGGATCTCCCCAGGTTAAGGTTTTTGTTTACTCCGCTTGGATCTCCCCGGAGTCTCATAGGCCTGCTGGGATCTCTCCAGGTCATTTATTCTCTTTATTCAATATTGCTTAACACCTGCCAGGATCTCCCCGGAGTATCTTAGGCCTGCTGAGAACTCATAGGAGTCTTTTAGGCCTGCTGGGATCTCCCCAAGTCGACTTTTCTCTTTATTTTATATTGCACTACACCTGCCGGGATCTCCCCAGGTGAAAGCTTTTGTTTACTCCGCTGGGATCTCCCAGGAGTCTCTTAGGCCTGCTGGGATCTCCCCAGATCGTCTATTATCTTTATTATATATTGCACTACACCTGCCGGGATCTCCCCAGGTGAAAGTTTTTGTCTACTCCGCTGGGATCTCCCCGGAGTCTTTTAAGCCTGTTGGGATCTCCCCAGATCGTTTATTCTCTTTATTCTATATTGCACTACACATGCAGGGATCTCCCCAGGTGAAAGTTTTTGTCTACTCCCCTGGGATCTCCTCGGAGTCTCATAGGCCTGTTGGGATGTCCCCAGGTCATTTATTCTCTTTATTCTATATTGCGTTACACCTGCCGGGATCTCCCCAGGTGAAAGGTTTTTGTTTACTCCGCTGGGATCTCCCTTGAGTCTCTTAGGCCTGCTGGGATCTCCCCAAGTCGTTTATTCTCTTTATTCTATATTGCACAACACCTGCCGGGATCTCCCCAGGTGATTATTATTTTTTACTCCGCTGGGATCTCCCTTGAGTCTCTTAGGCCTGCTGGGATCTCCCCAAGTCGTTTATTCTCTTTATTCTATATTGCACAACACCTGCCGGGATCTCCCCAGGTGATTATTATTTTTTACTCCGCTGGGATCTCCCTTGAGTCTCTTAGGCCTGCTGGGATCTCCCCAAGTCGTTTATTCTCTTTATTCTATATTGCACAACACCTGCCGGGATCTCCCCAGGTGAAAGGTTTTTGTTTACTCCGCTGGGATCTCCCCGGAGTCTCTTAGGCCTGCTGGGATCTCCTCGTGTCGTTTATTCTCTTTATTCTATATTGCACTACTACACCTGTCGGAATCTCCCCAGGTGAACATTTCATGCAGTATAAGTGTATTATTTTTTAATCCGCTGAAATCCACAGGGATCTCACTTGAGTATTGTAGGCCTGCTGGGACTTCCCATGTCGTTTTGTTTCTTCTTTTTATTTATAGTTAAAAAAACCAGATATAGGTGCAGATACAGATATTATTAACTTATTGTATTCAATTGCAGACAACAGAACTATAGCACCGGAATTAATAGGAAAGCAGTACCTTGATTCCTGCCATCACAGTAATGATGTGTTAGAACGACAGTCACGCTACTGATGGGACTTTTCGTTAAGCATAAAAACGCAAAAAGCTTTTAATCAAATGTACAAAGTTTTTTTTTATCATTTCTGAATATAAGTGTCATACAGAGTTCCATGAACTGTCTTCCTACTATTACAGAGAACCATTTGATATATTACTTTATAACACACTGAAAGAACCGAAAAGAATTGCAACATGATAATATAATTGTATATAGCGAGGATTTGATATCATTTTTTGCTTGTCATAACTACCCCACAACATGGACCGAGCGATTACCTTATATTGCGTGGATAAAGATATAGCAACTTACATGTATGCTTCTATGAACAGGCCGACATTTACATCAGACATATTACAGCCTTTGTGCAACATGTTATCAACAGGAGTTTTCCTCACTTTTCATAGACAATGTTATATTGTGCATTTTAACAGCTTTCTTTGGTTTCCTTCGATGCGAAAAAATTCACTTGTTGAATTAGGGATGCAATTTAAATTGCTTAATAATCAGTGATGTTGATACCAGTGTAGTGCCTTTACTTTTTGTGTGAAACTAAGAACACCAAAGACTGATCCTTTTAGAAAAGTAGTGAATATAACAATTAAAGAGAACAGCTTTGAACCAGTGGTGACAATGAATAAGTACTAAAAGTACCTTTTAGAATGGGAGCTGTATAACCTTCCATTCTTTGAAGTGACTGATGCAAGGCTTTTATTAATTATTTGGACAACTTTAGATACGCCTTGATTATAACATAAGCAGTTTCGTAGTCATTCTTTAGACACGGTCCTCAGAATGTTGTGTATAAGATACATCAGGACTGATAAGAAGGTTATTTGTAAATATCATTGATAAATGCATCTTTGAGTCTTTGTTATAGTTTTCATATAACCAATTTATATTTTTATATGGCATTATTTCTTGGGGGCTTTCACTCATTCATTACTATGAATTCATTCAATTTGGCCTTTATAATTCGAGGGGAATTATACTCCCCAAATTCAATAATACATCAGATAGGTTAATTCCTGCCGGGATCTCCCCAGGAACATTCATGTGTTTTAATATTTAAGGTAATTCCTGCCGAGATCTCCCCAGGAACAATTAGGTATTTTAAATTATTAAGTTAATTCCTGCCGGGATCTCCCCAGGAACATATATGTATGTTAAGGTATTAAGTTAATTCCTGCCGGGATCTCCCAAGGAATAAGCCTGCCCGGATCTCCCCAGGTCGGTAATTTCTCTAGTCAAGTAGCTCACACCTGCCGGGATCTCCCCAGGTGACATTTCACACAGTTAAGTTTGCTGCAGGAATCTCCCCAGCATTGAAATGTATTTAAGTTAAACTTTTTTGTACAAATATACACATAATTTTACCATTAGGCATTTTCAATTTACATGTATTTTATTAGGTTTAAAAATTTAAAGGTTAAACTTTTCAATGAAAGAGTAGTCTCCAGAAAGCCAATGATGTAACATTTTAAGTTATAGAAATGTATATTGTTATGTAATGGTATCTAATTTGGATAATGACGTTTACAATTAGTATGTTATAAATAAAAGTTTTCTTTAAAATGTGTTGTGTATAAAACAAAAGCTGGTGTAAAATTTCGATTCTGCAAAGCACTTCATATCGTTTTTGAGATTAAACTTGTTTATAATTACTTGTCATTGAAAATAAATGCCGTCACTGATTGTTTGCGTTGCTTAGACATGTTAAGAGTTTTATCCATTGTAAGAGAAAATATAGAAAATCAGGAAACCAATACATCATTTTACCTGTCAGATAACTATATGTTTCTGTCGTTTTCAATATCTTAGTCTGTTTTAAAATTAATAAATTAGTCACAAAGAGAAATGTTTACAAAGAACGACAAGAAAAGTTCAAAATGTTTTTTTTTTTAAATATAACTACAACATACAAAATGTGTTTTAAAATCTGTCGTCGTCTTCCTTATCTGTGAATACTATAGTTCACATAGATATATTTTTAGTTACCGACAATCATTCGAAAAGAAATTTTACCCTAAGTTAAGTGAAATGGTAGTCCTAAAAAGACCATTTACTGAAAAGGTCACAAAATGCGTACTTAAATATACACCATTAACCAATTTCATCCCTTTACTTGTTTAAAAGTTTAAGGAGTTGAAGATTTTACTGTTACAGTATTAGAAATAGGCTTATTACATACGATAAGATGGCCTTATTGGATAACCTTACAGCTGATCGGAAATTGTCCATAGACCTAATGAAGCTTGTGGCATGCCTAAGTTTTATTACATCTGAGGAAAACACTTATATTGATCCAGATCTTAATCTGATCTGTCAGAAAAATATGGTATTAAAAGAGTTTTACAGAATCGTGGTTAGACATCAATGATTCGTTTTAAAATGCACTACCAAACGTATGGCCATTATAAATCTTCATAAAATCTGAATTGATATTTTATAAAACGAAAAGTGGTATTACAATGATCAATGGTTCTTAACCATTAAGAATGTCAAACTTGTTGACGATTTCATCACAACCTTGAATCGATTGGTATCACTTCAACTGATTTTGAAGCAACAAAATAAACCACTATTTCGAAGTAGAAGGTAGCTTCGGCTTTCAAATTGCAATTCCGTTAATAGTAACTAATTGTATCTTGAAGACGAACTTATCACGTGGATATATAGTATGATTACGATTACTAAAAGATGCAAGAAATTTATTATATTTTAATTCTTACAATTATATGATGGCAAAGAGTTATTTGGTAATTGAAGATTTATTTTTCAATTTGAAATATTTAAGCTGTAAGAACTTATAAGCCGATCCCATTATAAATATAATGAGGTGTATTGCGATAGTATTAATAACATATTTACCTACAATAGACACTGAATAAAAGGTGAACATCGAAAGATTATCGTACGATCGACAGCTAGGGTTAAAAAAAAGCCGTCTTGACAATTATAACCTCCCACACAGGAAAGCATTTTTTTTTATTAACTATCGATTAATTATAATCTGTTGATTTGTTTAAACATGGAAAACATGGAAAAAGCTTCTTTAGGGAAAATTCTTCTAATTCGACCGAATAGAAATGAGTAAAAAAGGTGATATCTGTAGCTTAATCTAACTGGCCATGCCTTCAAAGAATAATTTCGAAGGTTAATGATGTCAAATGAAAAAGGAGTCCTGTACTTACGAACTTTGAAATAATAAAGAGTCAATATTAGGAGAAGAGAAAAGAACATAACAGCACAAAAAAAAAACAAGTCCAGAAACAGTAAGAACAAACAAACCTAAAGAAACCCGGGGTTGAACCAATATGCCCCAACAGTTCCGTTCCCATTAGTGACATTCGTCTTGTAGCTAAAAGCAACTACACATGTAGTGACAAGTCGTTTTTGGAGATGTAACAATCGGTAGAAAAAATACGTAATTTTGACTACGACAACAAAAACATATCAATCGTCATCTGTGACAACGATAGTTGTTCAAACGATTAACAAAATCAGGGTAGGATTGCACCCTAACTAGTATAGATTCTATATAAGCATCAACTATCAATCAAAGGAGTCATGATAGTAAACGCAAATCATGGAAATCGTATCAACTTGGAGGTATCTATTCAATACGCAGGTGCTGCTAGAATACTGATACATAGAAATAGAAGATTAAAAAGGAGAAAACTGATATTATATCAAGACTACGGTAGGTACTTACTTCTTATGTGTCAACAGGAGGTAACCAAAGGATAAAATAGTTAATTGAAAATAATTAGAAAAAAAGAAAAAGAGGTCTGCCTCAAATTTTTAAAATTACCGAAAATCAACATAAATTAACAGCTTTATAAAAAAAAGATAATGGTTTCAGTTTTACAATTTCAATTCTTCTGTAGTAACGTACTTGCCTCCTAAGAAATGACTTTTCTATGGTAATGCTATGCAAATACACCAATAATCGATAGAATTTCTGCAGTATACTCATTTCGTATTTTTTTGGCAAAATTTATTGAATGATGGATATCATTATTCTAAGGCTTTACGGTCATCATCACTATTTAATCGATTGGAATAATATGTTAACATATACCATTGAAAATATCGGTTTTCACCTTTATCAAAACCTGAATCACGTACAATACAATTAGTTGTTTGTGATTTTTGTTGTTAGCGTGGTACCTATGAATAAGGCACAAAATCAATAATAGTAAGTCTGAACATATCAGAATATATATCAAATTTATCATAAGACATTAGAATTAGTTCTCAGTATAAAAATTTGCTTTGGCCAAAAAAAAATCACATGCACCAATACGCTTATGTTCATCCATTTTGCATGTTTTATAGGTATCGTCATTTAAAATTGGTAACGATATTCATACTACTAACGACAACTTTGAAAATATTGTAAATGTATGTAGAGAAAAATATCAAAGCTAGAAATATAAAGTTGACAGTTGACAGGATTAAATAAAAGTTTTTTATGGATCCTTACATTTGCGTTTTAGCAGAAATAAAAGTGATTTTATCACATTTGAAAACTTCAACAAAGAATTCCCTCTTAACAATTTTAAAAGTTGTTTTAGTGAAATATTTAGTTCTTTTTGCTCAGGTAGTCCTTCTTCTAGACTTATGAATAAAAGCAGAACAATGAAAGAAATCTAGGAGGATTAAACTGTTTGATGTATCTCGATCTAAACTCGGCAATACGTCTATTTTTCATTTCTAGCAGTGTTTAGTTTTAGTTTTGTGCAAATTTGTAGTTTGATAAAAAAAAAATGCCTATGGATACATCAATTTAAATCAGATTGCATGACTTTATATCAAAATTAAAATTCCATGTAATGAAAAACAGGGACTTAATCAAAAAGCAAAGCACATTATATATGCCTTTCCTTCATCACTTTTCTTCCATGTGCACTCAGTTCTTAGTTCATATCTATCTAGAGTGGTATTGACGTAATCTGTAATCTACTAACTTTCCACAATGATTAATCGCGTTTTCCTAATCAGACATCATTTTTTTTTATAGTGATGTGTCCCAATAGAACTTCCTTAGGTTATGTCGGCCTGTTTTGAAACATCCATCAAGACTGATTCATGTCAGTTAAGATGTTAAATTTGTACTATTGCGTAATTGTGGCTGTCTTGTATAGTTATGTCGTTATAGTAGTCAAGAGAATTATTTGTAATAAAACATAAAAAGGAAAAAAGGAAAAACCAAAAATACTTGACAGGGCACCAGACCGTATCAAACGCACCTTCGGGAGAGTTGTAAGTTTAATATGAGAAATGTAATTACACTTACCATTCCAGATTGTGTTACAGTGTTCTCTTGATGTAAAACGACAGCCTCGGTTGTTATATGCCCCTCGAGTGCCTCTTTAATTTGGTCAGCAGTGCAATTAACGGGCCATTTAGGATCCTTCTTCTTGTACCAGTTGTCTGGGTACCAACCAATTATAATCCAAACATATTTTTTACCATATAATTTTTCTTTATATGCCTGAAACAAGCCCATATGGAATAATGATGATGTAACTCCTTGTATTTTTTTTCCTAATTAATTAAAAGAACGGGCACTCTTTATTCTTTTTTGTTCTATATTTTGCTAAAAATGATTTATTGTAAAATTACTACTTTATGCAGTATTCTACAGAAATGCAAATTGAATTTTTTTTTTAAATGATATAAGATATTCTAGAGTCAAAAGTATTGATTTTCAAGATAGGTCAAGTTGACAAGATTTCATCACGAAGAAGAAAGAACAAATTCGTAGAATCCAATTAATTTACTTAGTATGTAATTAAAAAAAAAGAAAGTCTTTATACAAATTCGTCACGAAAACAATGTTCTAGTGTACCATACCTGACAAAACACTTTCCTTGCCATATTTTCGTAGAACACTCCAATAATAATTCTGGCATCTTGACGCTAAAACAAAGTTAATACTTTTTTCTTAAGTATTTGTATGCGTTCATAAATGCATTGCATGCTGAACTAGTTAAGAGGATATCAAAACGCATTAATAGATTTGATAAAAAAATTAATTTTATTTGTGTTACCGTATAAATAGGTTTATTCGATATCTAAATGTTCGTTCTGCTCAATCTTCAATTTTCTATGCAGAGTTTATTCTAAAAATAAGGAGATGTGGTATGAGTGCCAATGAATTGATTATCAAACAGAGACCAAATGAAATGGCTATAAGAAAATATGAAACTTCAAATAGAAAAAGCTGTTTGACTGTTTTATGGTCATGTTGTTGTCGGTCTGTCTTCGACTCGTGGTTTGTGATTGCCCCATTGATACCCATGCCGTTGAGTTCCAAGTCAGGCTGGATATCCCAATGTGTTTTCAAGTTTCCCATCTGATTAATATAACAAAAGTTTTCCCCTGTGAGGACAGTTTTTAAAATTTTGTGACGATTCGAATTATCTTATGGTTGAGTACACTTTTTAAAATTCTTTTGGAAATCAACCGGTCCACTTGTTTTCATCGAACATATTAGGAAACGCAAAGATATTAAGATGAAAACATTTATAAAAATATGGTGTATCAAAGAAGAAAAAAATGTTACGTGTTTAAGACTTAAAAAAACTTCAAAACAAGAAGGAAAGAAATTATATACCTATATCAAAAAAATGTGCACAAAGAAAAAAAAAAGAATCATCTTCGCTAGCCAAGGGTTACGATCCAGTCCCCTCCTCTCCAACCTTGGCGGATCAAGATAAAGTTTCGGATCAATGAGGTAATGATTTCCATTGGTCGCAGTTATAACTGGCTGCATCCAATCAAAAAGTGTCTTTAAGATGATCACATTTAATGTTCAAGATGTAAATAAACAATTTCCACGTGCTGATTGTGCAACAAGTCTTTACCCCAAAAACAAGGACGATATTTACTGACAAATTTAAAGTTCTTATCAACTAATTGAAGTGCCTGGGTATGTTTCTGGTGGAAATGTTGGTATGTCAATGTATGTTCTCGGTTTCTGCTTTACGAATTTTAAAACATTAGACACAACCATTTTTACTCCTCCACACTAAAGAGAGTTCAAGTACTGCCATTGGTCAATAACGATGCAGTCGGAATGGGCGTGACTTTTATCTACCGTTAGATGGCTTAACATTGTAATTACAAATGTTGGCTTTATCTGCCAAGGATGGAGAAGAGGGGACTGGATCGTAACTCTTGGCTAGAGAAGATGCAAAAGAATAAGCATTTTCATATTAAAAAAATGTCTCCTACTTCTATTGATATATCTGCTCTAAGAAAAGCTACGGTCACAGATTCATTATTCAGGAAATACTGCCTAATTGTGGGCATATTCTAAATTATGATCTATTTTCCTACAAACTTTTAAGGACAAATTCGTTGATAAAGACAGACAGAAGGAAGAAGATACAATTTTCATCATAGTCGCGCACTCCTTAAAACAATGTTTGGTTTCCAAAGAATGGGAGATGGTGGAATAATAAAAGTCGCATTTTTGCACAAAAAAGTAGAGAACAAGTTCATAGACTACTTACTTTTAAATTTCTTACGGCATTTGTTGGATCAGTAAGGAAATTTTGTCTAACAGAGACCTCTATACCAGCTTTTTTAACCCTCTCCTCTAAATCTTCTACTGTCTGAAATATCAAAGCGTTTAACCATATAAGGATTCAAATGTGTATGTTGTCGTTTTGTTTTTGTAATCCATATAATTTTGATATACATATTGCAGATTTGAAGAACAATGGCACAACAGTGTATTCAGTATTCCATTTAGAGCTATATAATCTAAAAGGCTTGAGCATTTTAATGAAAAGAACCAGACCACTTGTTTGTGTTTTGTGGACTGTTATTTGTCTTTAATTTGGTCGCTCTTCTTTCTTTTGTCATAGAGCTGTCAGATTGTCTCGACTTGTAAGCTTAAATATCCTTTTGGTACATTTCGCCTCTCTTTTTGAATCAGTCCCACTAATGTACCCTATATGAATTAAACGGACTGATTTTGAAAATATATTACTAATGTTTCTGAATTGAATGAATATTTTATTCAGGTTCACTTTGTGGCATTGAATGTAATCGAAAAAGAAATTACAGCTAAACTGCTAGAGGATCTTTTATGGTGCGGACATTTTTATTATATACGATACGTATGTTTACAAGGTGATACGAGATCTTATCCATAAATGAAATGTGGAATCAGTACGTAGTCTGCCAAAAGTAAATAAACACTTTTTATTGAAAAAAAATTGTCAATATAATGCATATTAAGACCCCGGACATCACCCGTGCCATTATTGCTCTCTTACAATACAACGAAGTTTAAATGAACCTTCCTTGCAATGATAATATAATATATAAATGGACTTTCTCTCAAGAATTTATTTCTATCAATGTTATAGTGAAGGAAAGTAATATTACAAATACCATTTTCCGATCACGTCACTCATACGTCAATTTTAAAGAACGCAGTGAATGACAGTGGTCTAATTTATAACATTAAGATAATTTTATATTGCTACTTCACTGTATCTGTTTTTTATCATCACAGTATCTATGGAAATGATGAGTTCAAAACAAGAAATCTAATTACTCTGCATAATTTTTTTAAAAAAACACTGAGTAACTGGAATATAATCTAGAGAACGCTTTAAAACAATAAGAACAGAAAACGAGATGATGGGAGGGGAGGACTAATTCAGATACAATCTAATTGATTTCAATAAACTGACTACAAAATTACAGAAGTCGCAATTCAAAATATTTCCCTTTTGAATAAAAAAAAAAACAACAAATTTGAGTTATGGTAGAAATATATTAACGTCAAACCATGATTGGCTTGGTTTGCACCATCCTGATGTCAGTATTATAGTTCAATTGGCTCAACTATTATATTTTGCATGCAAATAAAATGTTAGAACTTATATTTAACATAGTTTTTCCCTTTTCGTTCATATTCATTGGATGTTTAAACAGTTGAATCACGTGAATATAAATTTTCCAATGAAATAAAACTGCACTAAAACTGGAACTATTAATGTCATAGCGAACGTCAAAATAATAAATTGATTTCCGCAAATCTTCAAAAATAATACTAGTTTCTCAGTTCTAATGCAACTAAAAGAAAACTATGTTAAATCATATATTTCAAAGTAGGTCACATAACGGTTGAGTTTGCAAACATAAATTTAGACCATCTACTGGGGAATTTATGGTCTAACATTCGTGGCGTTTCCCAATCAAAATGGCCTTTTCAAAAAGTGTTGAATTTTCATAGGACATTCATTGTATAATAAGTCAAGCATGAGAATTCTGAATGCAGTATATATTTGCTTTTTCAAAAATGTCAATCAAGAAAAAGTTAAAGGATTTTAAAAGGGATGTTGAATTTATAATCATTACATATTACATATAATATTTGACTATTTTAGAGAACATTTCATGGCTCTGTTTATACAAGCTCGGTGCCTGTTAATACAAATGTAATAAAAATAGATTTATAATTAAGATATAAGGTTTTACGGAAAGTGTTAATCCATATCTGAAAAGGCCTGTTAAATGTTTCGTAGTGGGAATGGAAATCATGAAAGGACTAAAGCGCACATGCGAGAGTAAAACATGGACACGTGCAGAGCTATAGTGAAGTTTAAATGATGGTATCAATTAATCCTTTATATTTTGAATAGTTATCGATGTTATAAAAATATAAGCATTAATTGAAAGTTTGCACAACAAGTTAACCGAAGATATCATGAATAAGGTTATTCGTAGTTTTGCGATGGAAACAATGAAGTTGTAACATATTAAAGTACTAAAGGGTTCAAAATTACTGCAATATTTAGAATAAAATTAGGTTATGTCTTGTTAAAATAAGTGCCATTTAATTGTTTGCTGTATTGCTGGCAAGAAAAATTCTTCAAATGAAATAACTTATATATATATAAATTTAAAATACTTCTTATGCAAGTGATGACTGAAAACAAAACTACAGTTGAGTTTATGGTTAATTTGAATTCCTTATATGACGGAGTGATGAACATTTATATACATTATGGCAAAAATAAACCTTGTCAAATAACAAAGTTTACCTTGATTTATTATATCATTTTTTTAGACTCTGATTTTCCACATGTGCAACAATGGAGATAACTACTTTCGTAAGCTTTGCTAAGGTACACAAGAGTGTTATTATGGCTCAATAAGAAAACGAACATCTTTTAAGTGGTTTTCTGATAAACTTCAATGTAATCAAGAAACCAAATGTTCCGTTGTTTGATATCTTTTTATTAATTAATAAAAATTTTCGAATAGATATAAAAGTATGTTCTAATATACATGCACATTTATATATGACTGTCCCTCTGGTATCTTTCGTCCCTCTTTTATATTTGTTCATTAAACATATCGTTTTATATTCCTCTCTTTATACGCGTAACAGTGTACTTATTTATTGATTACACGTCAAAATCGACCTCTGACAAAGTTATTATAAATTCTAATAGCTATTGACGAATGTATCGGTTATCA